TCACCACACTGTTGTCTGTGTCTGTGGGTCGTGCATATATGTTCTTTGGCTAGTCCCTTCCCCTTCATTCATTTAGTCTCCCCCTCTTCTACAGTTATTCTTTTAATTATAATCATATAATTTAATTCATTCTCGTACCGATTGAAGAAATACGAGTATGGCATGGTAGTTCCTATAAAAACTAAGTTACTTGCTTTGGAATTTTACTTATAGCCAGTTGCTAGATAGATTGTAGTTGGATTAGGTGTGCAAAAGATGGCTATGAAATATTGGTGAAAAGTTTTGAAGGACTCTTAATTCAGATTTGTTCACAAATGTCTTTAGTTGGCATGCCATTTAAAAGAAACTGGAAACAACTTTTGCAGTGTGGGAATGATTTATTCATGACAAAGGCTACATTAATATCACTAAGTAAAACATTAGTCAAATAAAAGGTTTTAACCTTATGTTAACAGATTTATATGATTTAAGTTAAAATGAAATATATTCATAACTTTCTCTTTTGATCAAAGATTTTGATTTACAAGTACTTACCAGTTACCAGTTTTTCATGTACTCTGTTCGTGTGTGTATGTGTGTGTGTGAATGGGTATTTAGTTACTATAATCATACATTTTTAAAACTGTAAGAGTCCTTAGTGAAAACAAACCCTGGGAAGTGATATGACTTGCTGAATTTCACAACTAATGAAATGGTGAATCTTCCTTGAATTAAGGGCATATGTCTATATGCTAGTCCAGTGCTCTTTATTACAGAAGTAGTTAATTTTGGTGGTATTTTTGTGATGATAAGCTGTACACTGCTTAGAATAGATAGCCATTTATATAATCTCAATATCAGTCCACATATTTGGGACATTCATTGCCTTTTTTAGGCATAGCATTAAGTAGCTTTGGGGTTTAGAGAGGCAGAAAAAAGTTCTTCAGTTTATGTTCTATTTCAGAACTTAAAGGTGTAAAGAAGCAACTGCTGTGAGTGTCGTGGGGTCATTCTCCAAGCACCTGTTCACAGTGCTCTGCCCGTGAAAGAGGAATCGATGAATCAATATGTATTGAGTGCCTCCTGATGTTCAGCACATTATTCAGCCACTGTGGATAAAATGAACACAGACTAGAACAAAGTCCCCGACTTCCTGAGATTTTTATCTCAGCAATTGAATTTATTTCTAGCAATTGAGTTATCTAACTGCACATTAAAGTGCTATAAAAAGTGAAAAAATCAGTGCTATGAGAATGTGTAGCCGGAGATCCAGACCTGGTCTGAAGGATTAAGGCAGAGGGTAAGGGTCACCGAAAGCTGACATGTGGTATTGATGTTTTAGTTGAACTCTAAAGTCTTAAGTGGGAATCATCAAGTGACTGTGGTGGAGAGAAGGGACATGCGTGGAGAGTGGGCAGGGGTGAGCAAACTTGGCAGAGGGAATAGTCTGTCCAGAGACACTGAGATAAGAAAAGGCATATTCAAGTTTGAGAAATGAAAAGAAAGCCCCTGAGTGTGCAGGACAGAAGGGAAGGAAGAGGGCGGAACAGGTGATGATCAGGAAATGGGCATTGGCCAGGGATGCAAGATTTTACAGAAGGTATTTGTGCTCAGGCCTAAGATCAGTGGAGAATTATTGAGAGGTTTTTTAAGCTTTTATTATGTACGATGACATTTGTATTTAAAGTGATCATCCTGGCTGCTCTGTGGAAATAGAATAGATCGAGACAAGATATGCAGGCAACCAATTAAAAGGCAAGGAATAGAATCTTTCTGTTACAGGTGAAGATAAAGGCATGCGAAATAAATGGTCAGAGAGGCACATATTATAGTTTGGCTTTTGCTTTTATGCTTAAATTAAAACTCTATTGCCTTTTTACATCCCTCATTGACCGCATAATTCTTGCACCCATTTTGTCAAGTATGTAAGCTTCAGGAGCCTACCACAATTTTTTATTTTCAAGGTAGGATTGACTACGTCACTTACCCTCTTGATCATATAGGAAATATGCTCTCTTATTTTTTAAATTCAAATATGAAAGCTCATAAGTAATAATAGAATGCTAGTATAGGTAATAGGGTTGATTGTGTTTTTATTAGAATAGGAATCATGGGGAATATTTTAAATAAAGTGAAAAAGAACTTTGACCGTAAGCATAACTTAAGAATAATTGACATTAAGAACTCTACTAGAGAGCTGTTTGTACATCAGTAGAAGAAAGTATGGCAGTTACATAAATCAAATGATGTTTTTGATTTATATTCATGTTTCATTTATTACATATTTATCATATACCCATAATTTTAGGAAGCACTTCACTTTCATCAAAATATTTTCAGATTTTGTTAATACAAAAACTATAAATTAGGCATTTTCCTAATTTATAAATGGGAAGAAATGTGTTGCTGTTCTTATCTTTCTAACGTGGAAAAGTTCCTTTTAGTTGAGATTTACATTAGGTTTGCATGTAGTCAGTGGAAATGAGTAAAGAAGAGGGAAAATAATGACCTTGGATAGAGGTACAGAATACTGTGTTCACTGTTTTCCCCACCCTAAGCATATATGTATATTGAAAGTAAAAATCTATATTTAAAATAATGTTTATATACTTGCATTCGTCTTTAATTTTGACTAATTGTAAGTGTCATTACCTCCTCTATAGTGATGGGTTATAGAATTGATCTGGGCTTAAAATGCCTTGTAAAATTAGTAAATTTTATTTTGTTTGAAAATTTCAATGTTATATATATTGCATTGTACCCTGAAATGGAACAGATCTTACTTGAAACAGTATATATTCTCCTTTTTCTAAATTTGTTAAAAGGAACCTTTTATGGATTAAATGAGCTAAGGTAATGGCTTATATCAAGTAAATTGTGGTTTTATAAAATTTTCAGTATGTATTATTTGGCACAAATATTCATAATAAAGTTTTTTGAAAGGTGCTTATATAGATTGTGATTTTTTTAAATAAAGAGACTCTACATATTGCTAGGTTTAAGTTCTTACATTAGTTTTTATGTTGAGGCTGAATATTGTTACCAAGTTTAGTACATACTTATTATATACATGGCTCTCTCTTCTAAACAATGTTAACCCTCCTCAGATCCCTGAGTTCAGGTTCCCTGTTACAGTTAATTTACTTTCTTCACACATATATTACAAAATAAGAGCTGTGTATATATTTTTTAATTAGTATATGAGTGTTAATAACTTTTTTGTTTGAAAACAACTCGTATATTCCTCTATACCATTTCCTTTTAAAGGCTTTCTCTCAAAAAGTGACAGCTTAATCAAGTCATTTTCTTCACTAGCTTCTTTATTGCACATTTGTGGGTAATTAACATAATGAATTATGGTACACTTTTTTCTGGTTCCCGCTTTGCCCAGCATCTTCATGAATAGACTCTTTGTCTTGTATCTACTTAGTTTGTTTCTAAAAGAGTAAATTAATTTTAGTGTTAATTTAAGGTAAACAAAATTAAGAATGTTTAAAAATACCCCTTAATCCAAGGAGAAGTGCAAACTGTTGCATTTGTATTTGTTTCACTGTTGTACTAAATTAACAGTCTTTCTCTTTTTCTTTAATCTTCACTTGAGTGTATGTTTGAGAGAGAGAGAGAGAGAAACAGATGTGAGAGTGAAACATCGATTGGTTACCTCTCATGCATGCCTGGACCAGGGATGGAACCCACAATCTAGATATGTGCCCTGGTGTGGTATCAAGCCTGCGACCTTTTGGTGTATGGGATGATGCTACAACAAACTGAGCTACCTGGCCAGGGCAAATTAGCAGTGTCTCTGGAGGTCTGTTGTGTTTAAGATAGAGTACTATATGTACTTTTTTATGGCTAAATATGGCCACATTCTTTAAGCCATTTCTGTGTTATTTTGAATACACAAGTTTTTAAGTGCTAGACTATGCAAGCAGAAACCAATCAGGTTCCTTCCAAAGGTATTTAGCTTGGAACTTGCCTATATAACTAAAAAGAAGAATGTGGGGAATTCATAAAGGGTTGAAAAAGAACCAAGAAATATTTCAGGTGCTTTTTTATTTTTTATAGATTTTTTGGGGGGTGACATTTATTTTTTATTGATTTTTGGGAGGGGGTTGGCATTGGTTAATAAACCCATGCAGGTTTAAGTGATACAATTCAATAAAACATTATCTGCATTCTGCATTGTACCCTCACCACCCGAAGTCAAGTCTCTTTCCCTTCCCATTTATCCTCCCTTTGCCCACGTCCACCTTTGCTCACACCCTTTCTGTCTGGCTATTGCCATACTCTTGTTTGTGTCTGTGTATCTCTATATATACATATTTATTTATGCTTATACATATATATATATTTATGCTTAATCTCTTCACCTATTTTCACCCAGCCCAATGCCCCTCCCCTCTGACAGCTGTCAGTCTACTGTTTTTTTTGTTTTTTTTTAGCTTTTTATTTATTTATTTTTAGAGATAGGGGAAGAGAGGGAGAGAAACATCAATGTGTGGTTGCCTCTCGTGCGCCCCCTACTGGGGAACTTGGCCTGCAATCCAGGCATATGTCCTGATGGGAATTTGAACTGGTGACCCTGTGGTTTGCAGGCCGGTACTCAGTCCACTGAGTCACACCAGCTCGTCTCAGTCTACTCTTTTAAAAGCAAGCAGAAACAGTATGAATTCCTAATGTTTTCTTATATCTGGGTTGAGAAATTAATTGTATAATATACTTGTTAGACTCATTTCATATTTAACTGGAAAAAATATTATATTTTTCTATTTTAATTTTAAGCTTTGGCACATAAAATACCTAATATTGCTTGAAGTCTTAGTCAAATACATTTGTACACCTTGGGTCTTGTGAAAGGAAAGTCCTAAGATATAACAGTAATTAAATGATCAAAACCTCAGTATACATAAACTTAATTAGCCTCTGATAATGTTTTCTTTTACATGTCATTAAAAATGAATTTATATTTTTTGATTGAAAAGCATTTATATAATGCTTTTATGTAATGTGTTTTTTATAAGGTCAAAAGAAATAGACTGGCAGCCTTATTTTACTACACGCATTGTGGATGACTTTGGCACACACCTACGAGTATTTAGAAAGGCTCAACAAAAGATAACAGAGAAAGATGATCAAGTAACAGGTAATATCTTTATTTCTGAAAACTACGATTTTCAAATCTGTTTTTCTTTATCATTCATTATATCTTGAATTATTCCTTTCTTCATGCAGGCACAGCAGAAGATCTCGTAGATACCTTCTTTGAAGTTGAAGTTGAAATGGAGAAGGACGTTTGCCGTGATCTAGTGTGCACTTCTCCCAAAGATGAAGAAGGTTCCGTTTTCAGTTTCACTCTTTTGAAAACGGCAACTATTCAAATTGGTCAGACAAGTTAGCAGAACCAGTGAACAAATACAAGGGTGAAATTATTTTTACAGGACAGGTAGCATAGTGAAGATACCTTTACTCTTCATTTTATTTTATCTTTTTAATTCTTAAAAGTAGTTTAAAAAAATAGTTCCCTTTTTTTTGTTTTAAAGGTTGTCTATGAAAGTTAAAGATGGTAATTAAAGATTACCTTTCTTGTCCTGTAAAATATAACTAGCATAAACATTTTATAATTATAAATTTTTTGATCTATACTAATTTTATCTTCACCTTGAATTTATTTTTTTCTTAGAGAATATATCTGTTACCCTAAAATATCTTCTAATGGAATGTTTACAGTGATTTTAAGTAAAATTGATAGAGTTGAATGAACTTGTCTTCTTTGTGGGAAGTTAGCACAGATAAGCTTTAGCTGAGGATGTTGTGTTCCTGCGAGTTTTTCCTACTTGGCATTTTTTTGTTTGTTTTGATAAACAGGTATCAGCTATGTAATTATGTCCCCATGAAGTGTCAGCATATGAATAACTACAGAAAAGCATTTCTAGTTGTGGAAATTGTCTTTGATTTTTATAATTTGCTTAACATTTTGATTTCTTTATTTTTGCCTTTTTTTACCTCTTTTTTATTTTCTTCATTCCTTCTTGTACAGTTTAATTTTTAATTGCCATTTATTTGCACTGATACAAAAATAACTACATGTAACAAATAGATACAAAGATGTGCAGTACTTTTATGTAAACTGAGCCCTCATAAATCAGCAAATTTGAAGAGCATACTCTTTTATTTTTTTGTTATTACCTGCCAAGATAGAAGAGATTCTCAAAAGAAGAACTATAGGTGTATTTTAAATGTGCAAATAATTTTTAAGTATGCAAACATAATTAGTGTGGTAGAGTACATAATACATGGTATAACTTAAGTTGTTTCAGGGGCACCTTTGTAATTGAAGATTTTTTTTTTAAAGATTTTATTTACTTTTAGAGAGGGAAGGGAGGGAGATAGAGAGAGAGAGAGAAACATCGATGTGCGGTTGCTGGGGGTCATGGCCTGCAACCCAGGTATGTACCCTGACTGGGAATCAAACCTGCGACACTTTTGTTCGCAGCCCGAGCTCAAGCTACTGAGCTACGCCAGCCAGGGCTAATTGAAGATTTTTAATGATTAAAAAAGTGGGTGAAACTGAGCACAATTAAAATATCATTTTGGTTAATGAGTAGTTACTGTTGGAGAAAAATGAAGGAATTTTTAATGAATACTGATATGTACTAATTAATTACTAAAATAATAAGCCAGTATAATCAGGAAACTGCTTATTTCTACCTTTATATGTTTGTTTTATATTAAGAATAGGTAGAGGTTCATATTTTCTAATGTTACTATAGCTACCTTTCTTATTTCTAGGATTCCTAAGGGATTTGTGTGAGGTCTTACTATATTTATTGCTACCTCCTGGAGATTTCCAGAACAAGATCATGCGGTACTTTGTCAGGGTAAGCTTAAACTCCTACCAGATAAATGGCTGTAAAGAAACGTAGAGTAGTATTTCTCAAAAGTTCTGGTCCCTGGACCCCATTACAATCTTTTAAAAATTATTGAGGCTCCCAGAGAGCTTTATTTATGTGGTTTTTACCTATCAATATTTACCATATTAGAAATTAAAACTAAGAAATTTTGAAACACAAGAATATACAAATTTCCACTCCATTAGTTAAATGCTACCATCACATCTTGTTTCATTTGAAAGTATGACTGTAAGCTTGTCTCCCCCAACTTCCCAGTGGTCCCTGGGCAACACTTTGAGAACTGTTTGACTTAGTTAGGTACTTGGATTTTTGGTTATGCCAAGATATTTTAATTTTTCTTTAATATTTCTTTACCTATAAATTTAAGCTAATTAAATTAGGCTAATTCAAATAATACCTCTGGTTAGAAACTTAAAAAAAAAGCTGAGTAGCTGAGATTTTGCTTCTTATAATTGGAAAATTAATAAGAAAGATGAAAACAGTAGTCTGGGACTTTCAGTTCCCTGGCCATAATATAAACCTTTGGAGTAAATATTAAGAGGCAGAGGAATAATATTTTGGCTTTGGCTGCTGCTTATGATTGAGAAATGCTAGCTACATAAGACCTTATATGGTTGTGAATGGATAAAATGGAAGTTTCCAGTTTTTCTGAAAATAAAACTTTGGATCTCTTTAGCCTGACTTTCTGCGAAACAAAATTTCAATTCCTAAGGTGTGCTTTTAAGCTTGGATGCTATTATTTAAGCAATACCATACAATTTCCTAATACCTACCTGTCTTGAGTCCAATTCACTTGTCAGGCAGAGTAATGGTACTTTGAAGTCAGTAGAAAATACTTGGTTTTGATGAGAAGAATCCACTAGATTAAATATTGTTAAGACCAGTTATTTGGGCTAGTTGGTTTTCTAGTAAACAGCTGGAATACCTATCACAAGATTCGTCGCCACCACTAAAGGACGATGTTACTAATTCGTCTTAGCTCAAATCCATGGTAGCTCTGTTAGTGTCTTAGCAGCACTCCACGGGGCTGGCTATCTTTGCCTTCTTGAAACTGTCTCTCTTGGGTTCCCTGTCATTGCTGTTTCCTGATGTTTTGCCTCCATTTTGTCTCCTTTTTAGTCACCTTTATAGGTTTTAACTCATCTTCTACATAGCTTTTAAATATGCAAAGTATTCAAGCCTCTAGGCTTTAAACACCATCCAAATGCTAATATCTTCCAGATTAATAGAGTTAGGCCAGACTTCCCTTCTGAGCTCCAGGCTACTCTGACCAGCTGACCACCGAAATCACCATTTTATTGACTTATAGCCCTTTTAAACTTTAAATGTCCAAAATGGAAATCTTATTCTTGCCTCTAGATCCTGTCTGCCTTTTAGAAGTTTCCCCATCCCAGTAAATGTAAGACCTACCATCCAGCAAATTTTTCACATGTCAGGTCCCTTTAGGAGCTAACAAGGCCTGTGTGATATGGCTTTGTTTACCTTTCTGACCTTCATGCTGTAAAGTCATTGTGTTTCAGCTGCACTGGCTTTTTCTCCATAAGTGTCTCATCCTCTGTTCTTCCCCCTGTTCTTCTGGGGAAAAAAAAAGAGTTTCTTTATTTTCTTGGCTGAATTGTATTCATCTCTCCTTTCTCACTTCCTCAGAAATGCCTCCCCTGACCTCTCATAATTCCCTGTTACTAGAGCTCATTACTCAGTTGATTCCCTTATAGCACTCTCCATATTTTAAAAAGAGAATCTGGTTGTTGTGTTTACTCACTTGATGCCTCTTTCCCCCATAAAGACAGGGGCCATGTATTTGTATTTATCATTGTTATGTCCTTGGTGGTCCTCTCAGTAGCTGTCAGACAGCAGATGCCCAGTCAGAAAATCATTTTGATGTTACGAGGAAACGTGTTTGCCCTTCTTGCTGGCTGTGGTACACACGTCACTGCAGCTTCCTGAAGATTAAGCTGACCTTTAGGGTCCATGAATAAAGATCTGCCTTGTTACATGAGGTTATAGTTTAAAATAAGTAGAATTGTTTAAAGAGAAAATATGTTTTGCTATAGGTTTTTTTTAGACCAGCATTTCATTTGTTTTTGGTAGAATCTAATTGAGTATAATTGTAGAGCACTACATTCAACAAATTAGTTTTTTCCTTTTAATTTGATAGGTCTTAATCAGTTTTCTTTTGCTGGTAATACATGTTTACCCCAAAGGTTTTTTTTTAAGATTAACACATAACTACTACTACTTTTTTTTTTTTTTTTGTATAGACCCTTGGCCTAACTAGAGCCCCTATAGGAATTGTTGAGTTATATGGTGACATCTTGACTAACCAAATCCTTTTTGAGGCAAATTAAAAGATTATACTAGTTTACTAAAACAGATTGACTAATTGCATTAACTAATAAGAAGCATTAAATTGATTTAAAATTCTATACCATATATATTTTTAATCATTTTGAAAAGCAACTTCAAAAAATTTTTATTTATGTGTTTTCTTCTTACAAAGAACATTTTGAGACTTGAGCATTGGGCCAGAGACATAATTTGAAGAAAGGAATTATATAAATACTGAAAACAATTTTTAAGCCTTGAAAGAATAAGCAAATCCTTCTAATTTGAGACTGTAAGATGTCTCAAAAGACACCTCAGAAAGTTAGTTGAGCCTTTATTAGTACCTTTTGGAATTATTAATTCATCATGGTGAAATAGTTGTCAGAGACTTGTATAGCTTACAGAATTAGAATTTATAACATTTCTCTAAAGGAAAATAAAGTATAGTCCACCTTCTGTGAACTTACATCACAAAATGGTCCAGGTAAATTAGAGATCTGAAAAGATTAAATACATCAACCTTTTGCTTAGGAAGGTGAAACATCCTGTTAAGCTTGCAGTTATTTAACCTCTCCATTATTCTTAAGAAATAGTGTTTCATAAATTCAGATATTATAGGCATAAAGTGGTGTAGATGAATAGCACCAGCACTAAATACTTAGTTTCTTTATCTCCAGTCATATCATGTGTATAAATGCCTGCTATGTTTAAGACAGTGACATTGAGAAGGTGAAGAGTAAATAATTTTGAAGATACATAAATCAGTAGAACACCTGACTAGTTTCACTCATATACAAAGGATTCTTATAAAGTAGTGTATTAGAGAAGTGGCAGATACAGAGTTACATAGAGGAGGGTAAGTGATAAATGCCATAAATAAAGGGTATAAGTGTATTTTAAGCATGTAAGTAAAGTGTTTAGCTGAAATGATCAGCGTTTATTTAATTGGAGAATTGATTCTGGAGTCAGTCCTTGAAGGAAGGGAAGAATATTAATAGGAGCATAAACAGCTGGAAAGAATGGGAAAGAATAGCTAGAGAATGGTGAACAGTTGTATTAATATTTTATTTTATTTTCATTATTTTCTATTAGGAAAAATTTCAAATAGACAAGTATAGAGACTATAATAGACAGTTATATACCAACTACTCAGATTTAACCAGTGTTAATATTTAACTATATTTGCTCTATTTCTCCCTTGAAGGTAACCACTATTCTCAAAATAGTGTGTATCTTTTCCTTTCTTCTTTGTTTTTATACTTTAATGTAGATAGAGGAATCCATAAACACTTACACGGCCATGTTTTGTATTTTAAAAATTTACAGAAATACTAATGCACTAGAGGTATCTTTTGCTTTTCTCCACTCAAGTCCAGGTGTCATTGTGGAGATGTATCCACAGTGATACAGGTAGCTTCATCTCAGTTTATTTACTTTATCTGTGGTAGACTAGCTCATCTGTTTATAAGCTTATATTGGTTTTCAGGCTTTACTTTTACATGTATTGTGCTTTTCTTAAGTAACAGCACTGTGTTAGGGAATTTATATTATGCCATTGATTTGAGTATATTAGATAAAATTTATTTTTGTGTTTTAAAATTTTTGTCCAGGAAATCCTTGCACGAGGAATTCTTCTTCCATTAATAAATCAACTCAGTGATCCTGATTATATTAATCAATATATCATTTGGATGGTATGTACTTTCTAAATTATAACTCTTTAAAACAGTTTTTTAAAATGTACAAATGGTATTTGGAGATTAAACAACAATTTATTAAATGAAAATGTATCTAAAGATAATCTTTATCTGTCCAATATTTGTTTGCTAATATGTTGAATGTGTTAGCCAAATTTTTTTTTGAATATTTTTAATCTTCATCTGAGGATATGTTTATTGATGTTAGAGAGGAAGGGGGACAAAGAGAGAGAGGAACATTGATGTGAGAGAGAAACATCGATTGGTTGCCTCCTGTTTGCACCCTGACCTGGGATTGAACCTGCAACCTAGGTATACACCCTGACTGGAAATCAAACCCACATCTTTTTGATATATGGGGATGATGCTGCAGCCAGCTGAGCCACCCAGCCAGGGCTCACCACATTCTCTTTAAGAAGTGTATTGATAAGATAAATTTCACAATTTTGGTTCTGTTACTACTTGTTTAAATTTACAAAAGGATATTTTACTGCCCATGTGTATAGATGCTGAGTATTTTTTAAAGTTAGAGCCTTTCATGGGGGTCACAGATTCTTCTTTGTCGACTGCATTATAGAGTTCTACAACGCTCTACCAAGAGCTTTAAAAATATGTATATCCACATAATTAAAAATTTTTAAATGTATATCTCTTGGTTAGGAATTATCCTGAAATTTATTATAAAGTATTAATAAACACATTTGCAACATTTAAGAATTGCAAACATTGCTTATAATACTGAAAAAATGAAAGCAATTTAAGTTTCTTACATAGATGATTAGTTTAATAAATTACGCATATTGATACAGTAGACTACTATGCAGCCATCAAAAAGGATGGTGGTGTATGCCAAAGTATAATTTCATAGCTCTCCGTACTGCTTTACTTGGTTTACATTTTATTGGCAGTCATAATGATTGGTTGCTTCTCAACATCCTCAGCTACCTTTTCTCTCTCTCTCACTTACTTGTTTGGTGAAACCACACTGGTTAAATCCAGCTTAACCATTCATCTACTCTGTTCCTATTCTTAAACAGTAGGTGACTGGAGAAAAAGAGAAATAATAGTTATTCACATCATCATAATGATTCTGTTAAATTTAGGTCATAGAATTCCACTCTTCTGTTTAAAACCCTCCAGTAACTTTACTCAGAATGAAAGTCGAAACAGCCACTGTGCCCTGCTGATTTGCCCTCTACCCCCACTCCTCTTGTCTCCTCTTCTCCCTTTCTTTGATACAGCTCAGTCATCACGGCTTCCTTGCTATCATCAAACATTCTGAGCATATTTTTCTACTTTCTAACGTGCTGTGTATTTTACTTACTTTGTTTACAGTTTGTGACAAGAATTTAAGTACAATGAGTACAGGGATTTTCATTTTCTTTTGTTATAAGCATTGGGAATATGGCAGGTTCTGTTTCCCCTTAATAAGTCTGTTCCCCTCCAACCTGTTTTTTAAACTTTATTTTTCAGATCCGTGACTCTAATTGCAACTATGAGGCCTTTATGAACATTATTAAATTGAGTGACAATATTGGAGAGCTAGAAGCAGTGAGAGATAAGGCAGCAGAAGAATTACAGTATCTTCGATCTCTAGATACAGCTGGTGATGGTAAGTAATTTGTTAAAGTAAAAGAATGTTTTCCTTCTTCATTGATTACTATAATTCAAATAAAACTAATTTGCCTAAGTATTATTTTACCCTGTTGTTTGTTTTTCTCTTAACTAAATTGAAATCTGGCTTATTGTATTAACATGTACTAAGAATAAGGAGTGATTTCTGAACATGAGACCATTATTACAGTTATCTCTAAAATAAAGAGGGTTGGCATGGTTTAATATTAAATAATTTCACTATAAAATTTGAGGTTATTTATTCAGTAAAATAATTGATCTGTGCATTGGTTTTTATGTTAAATTACAGTAAGGGAATGTTTAAAGTTTTTCACATATAGCATTACCACTTTCTAGTTCATAATCAATTTGTTTGTTTTTAGATATCAACACTATCAAAAATCAAATAAATAGCTTATTATTTGTAAAGAAAGTATGTGACTCAAGAATACAGCGGTTGCAGTCAGGCAAGGTAAGTAAAGTGCATTTGCATTAACGTTTAGTATAAATACTTTCTATTTTTTAAACTGTCTAGCAGGGTGGGGGGTGGGTGAGAAAGGTGAAGGGGACTGAGAAGTACAAGCTGCCGGTTATAAAATAAGTGTTGGAGAAGTAATGCACAGTCTGGTTATATAGTCACTGATATCACAGTAACTATGTGTGGAGGCAGATGGTTTCTAGACTTTTCATGGTAATCACATCGTAAGGTGTATGGATGTGTAGTCACTATAGTGCACACCTGAAACTAATATGGTATTGTCTGTCAAATATAGTGTAATAGTAAAATTTTTAAATGTCTAGCATATAACAAAAAGTGGGATATTAACCAGTACAGTACTCTGTAAGAGAACTTTCAGGAAAAAACTCCTCTTATACAGTGTATCATAAGTATTTGTGAAACCAAGCTAAAGAGATTGAAACACTGCCTGAAAAATGCTAAAGTAATTAAAGATTTTATTTTAATTTGTGACTTATTTCTTCATTTACCCACTTTACTCAAAATTCAGCATTTACTGAATTTTGTGTGGGGGGCACTATTGTAGATTGACCTAATAGACAAAATCTCTCTGTTCATGGAGCTTACATTTTAATTGCAGAGTCAGAAAATAAGCCAATATATAAATTGATATATAATGGCTTAAAAAATAAAAAGTAAAATGAAAAAAATTAAGTAATGCGAAGTAAAGGGATAGAGAATGCCTAGGGGTGTTTTCTATAGGTGTTGAGAGACTGGGTCACATTTGAGCATAGGGAGGCCCAAATAACATGAGAGAGTTCTGAGATTTTTAAAAATAGAACCTTTCAGGCAAGGTGAGAGCAAAGGCAAAGGTCCTGAGATAGGAAGGTGGTTGGTGAGTTAGAGAAGGTCAGTGTGGCTGGTATGGAATGAATGAGAAGGATTGTTAGTAGGAATGAAGTTGGAGAGGAACCTTGGTGACTAGATTATATGTGGTTTTACCTGCCATAGTAAGATTTTTTTATGATTCTAATAGTGATGGGAATACATTGGAGATTTTCTTTGATGAGTGATGTGTTGTGATTTGTGAGTTAAAATGATTCCTTTGGCTCTTTGTGATGAATAAATTATGGTGGAGTGGTGGGAGCAAGAATGGAAACTAAGTGATCATTTATGAGACTACTGATTTCGTATAGTAAGAGATGTCTGCAGAGGGTATAAGAAGTATTAAATAGTTAGGGACTGCAGATAGTGCTAACAGGGTTTAGTAATGGATTAAATATGTTAATTGTTAAACTCAAGTTCAAGGGAAAGTTTAGTGATGGAAATACAGTTTGAGAATCGCTGGGATTATCAGATGTTTATTTAAAGTTAAGAGACTGGGCAAGGTACCTAAAGTGTGAGTGTAAGAAGATACTAAGAACTCAGTCCTGAGGCACTTCAGTTACTATAGTTTAAAATAAAGTAGGATCTACCCAAAGATAGAGTTAAGTCACTGGTGAGATTGAAGGAAAACCTGGGAGTGTGATATCCTAGATGCCAAGTATAGAAAGTGTTTAAAGAAGTGAGAAATCAGGTTTGTCAAAGACTAATTGCACATTGGGGTGTGCTATCGAGGGGATTATTGGTGATCTGATGATAGCATTTTGGTGGAATGTGGAGAGAAACCCTGAAGGAGTCAGTCCACGAGGAAATGGGAAGAGATGAATTAGAAACAGTGGTTCTTGTTAGCTCTTTAGAGCTTTACTATAAAGTAGAGCAGAGATTTGGGGCTCTAAGACAGGAAAAAACATTTTAATTAAATTTAGTGTTTAGTGCAGTCACTTTTCTGCACTGGTTTTCTATTCTGGAAATTTATTTGTGACTCTCTTATCTTGTGATTTTGCAATTTTCCATAAGGAATAGAAGACATTTTTTAAGAACTTTGGTTTGCTAGGTTAATTTAAACTCATATTACTCAAGGCCCACGTTTGTCATATACATGTGTGTGCACTTGTATGTATGTCTGTCTTTAACTATCTTAAAATTAGTTTATATACCCATACAAATTCAGAATAGAAAAATGACCTGGTTTTACTAGTGCTTATTGTATCTTTAAGTAGATCTTAGAGTTAGTAATCCTTCAGCATCATTATTTAAAGTGTACTTGCCCTCTCTTTGATAATTGAATCCTTTTAAAATTTAGATGCCCTGTTTGGAAGCCTGTGAATTCTATTTTGAATATCAAGTATTACCTCTTTAATAGTTCAAGTCATGCATTTTCCTTTGGAAGTAACTTCAGAATCCCTGCAGAGATCTATTTTTTAACCATATTACTTATCTTGAAATCTTAGAAGACCTTTTATCCTTTTTATTACAAATAAAGTTATAGTGACTACTCTTCCCCATCCCATTAGCCATGGAGCTGCTGCTGGGCAAGAGAAATAAAAGAGAAACCATGTTCTAGCACTGGGTTGCCTTATGCCAGACACTTTAAGTTAGTTACCTGTTACTAGTCAGTACTTATATGAAGGGATAATCATTACACAAATTTTTTTTCTACTTTATCTTCAGATTATCTTTCTTCTCCTTTATGTATCACCTATGCCTAATTTAGTATCTGTCCCTGAATAGGGCAGCCTATTTTAACTTTCAGTGAACCTGCCTGTCTTTTCATTTTAAATCAAAGACTTTTTAAATCACGGATTTGGGAATATGCACAGAGAAGCTGGTGAAAATAGTTCACAGATATATCATGGGTTTTAGAGGAAAGGACAGTAGGCTTTGAAAACAGACTCATTCTTACTGGCTTTGTGATCATAGGCAACCTTTCTGGTCTTCGGTTTTCTTACGGGCTAACTGGAATTGGTGACACTCACCCAATAGGATTGTTGTGGAGATGAAGTGAAGTGATGTGTGAAACGTGCGTCCCTAGCGTAGTGCTTGACATGTAGAGTCTCTAAGTTGTGAACCTTTTTTTAAATTTGTTTTATATGTAGGTAGTTATGGTGCTTTACAAACTTCATAAAACATATATAATTTATCACTTACATACTCTGAGAAGAAGTACATTTCTACATTTATATTTCCATAAAATACATTATAGAGTTTTTACTCTCTTAGTAGCAAAATCAGTCTTTGGGAATATTTTCTGTTTTCCCAGTAGGTAGACTTCAGTCTCTACTTTGAAATGTTGGGATTTGTTCATTCTTGGACATATTAAGCATTCTAAACATCCCCTTGAGCCTCTAAAATTTTCACCCTGTATAAGTAGAGAATAATTAAAATACAGTAATTTAGATTTATTCTGCATTAGAAGAAATGAATGCTTATCATACTTAATATACAGGATCCAGCACAAATAAAAAAGATTTTTATTACAAAATCATAACCATGTAATTCTGTAACAACAATCACACTCAAGCACACCATATGACATTTTAGGTTTCCAAAATGTTCAAGTTAAAACTAGGGAAAATTGGAGACAACTGTACTTCAACAACAATTTAAAAAATGCACACCCCCCCCATAAATTGTTATACCCATATTATTACCCTACCAACCACACTCAAGGCCTTAGTCCTGCTGAACCCTGTATATTTACTAAGCAATTCTGAAAATAACATTCACTGAGCTGAGACTATTTTATTGGGCATCTCATTTGTAGAAGGAAAAACCTTTATTTTTATTCTGCTTCAATTTTTTATAACTATATAAAGATCTTTAACCTAATGAATGAATATATTGAATGACCTGCATTTGCTTTTATTTGTAGGAAATAAATACTGTGAAACTGGCAGCAAACTTTGGGAAACTTTGCACAGTCCCTCTGGACAGCATCCTTGTAGACAATGTTGCACTACAGTTTTTTATGGGTAGGTAAATCCATTTTATGAAAATAATATAACCCTTGAAATTTTTAATAATTGTAAATATTATTAAATTTTAAATACTTAATGTTTTACATGCCAAATCTGTTTCTCCTTTATTCCCTATTCTCCAAAATGTTCCTTTTTTACTGGAAAACATAGTGGTAGAAATTTATTTTGTTTTTGAAGAAATAAATGCTTATTATAACTTGAACGTGCATTTGCTAAACTTTTAAAATAAACCCTAGGAGAGTCTACTATGAATTTAAATTACTTGAGGAAGAGTACTTTGTGGGTAATACATGGTAATAATAGATCTTATTTGTATCATTTTTGTGTATGAATGGGAAGGGACTTTGTTTCTATACCATTTTAATAAATATATACTCTTACATATACATATTGTTCATTTTATTACTATTACATCAGAATTGTTTTATTTTGAGGACATTTTCACTAAAATTTCCTGATTCTTAATTTTCATAATTAAAAACAAATACATGATTTATGGTAGGCTTTAATCCCTATATATTAATATGTAAGGAAACATTAACACATGTTATAATTAGTAATCTTCATTATTATCTGTGTTGTTGTGGGTTTTGTGTGGCAGATTTCATGCAGCAAACTGGAGGTCAAGCACATCTCTTCTTCTGGATGACAGTGGAAGGGTACCGGGTTACAGCCCAGCAGCAGCTAGAAGTTTTATTAAGCTGTCAGAAAGATGGAAAACATCAAACCAACCAAACCAAAGGTCTTTTAAGAGCAGCTGCTGTTGGAATTTATGAACAATATTTATCAGAAAAGGTGAGGATATGTTTTGGTTACTGTGTTCTTACCTTCTTTGGCAGTATCATTAATAGTAACTTTTATAGTTCTTATGAATATTACTCATGCTAGGCACAGCTACTTCACAAGCATTGTCTTATTTTATTCTGGTAATAGTCTTATTATGTATTATTATCCTAATTTTATAGGTGAAGAAACTAATGTTTAGAAAATAGAATTAATTTGGTCAAAATCATGAAAATATTAAATGACAAAGATTCAAAGTCACATACACTTAGATTCAAAGACACAGTAGTTGAAAGTAAAAGGATAGAAAAAGACAAATCATGCAAGCAGTAACCGAAATAGCTGGATTGGCTATACTGATATTATACAGTAGATTTTAAGACAAAAATTGTTACTGGAGAAAGAGGAACATTGTATAATAATAAAAAGATTAATTGATCAGGATGATAAAACAATTAGAAACATAAAAAAACCCCTACATACATGAAACAAAAAACTGACAAAATTGAAGAGAGAAATAGAGAGTTCAGCAATAATAGTTTAAAACTCCAGTACTTACTTTCATTAATTGATAGAACATTTAGAAAATCACCAAGGATGTACAGGAATTAAGGAACACTGTGAATCAGTTATACCTTTTACAAGTACAGAATTTTTACATAACTGTAGCAGAATACACAATATTTTCATGCACACACGAAACATTCTCCAGAATAGACCATGTGCCAGGCCATAAAACAACTCTTAGTTTAAAAGTATTGAAAATCATGCAAAATATGTCCTTTTCTCCTAATACAACAACAGAAGGATTACTTAGAAATCAATTAGAAATTAATTAATTAGAAATCAACACCAGAAGGAGTTTCAGAAATTTGTACATATTTGAACATTAAAGAACACATTTCTAAATAGCCTCTAGGTCAAAAAGAATTGAATGTAAATGAAAACATAATGTCACAATGTATGGGGATGCAGCTAAAGCAGTGCTATGAGGGAAGGTCATAGCTTTAAAATACCTAAATGGAAAGAAGATTTTAAATCAACAATCCATGTTCTTTACATAAAAATATAGAAAAAGGAAAGCAAAATGAATGTGAGGCAACAGAAGGAAGGAAATAGTAATGATCAGAATGAAAATCAGTTAAATAGAAAAGAGAAAAACAATGATAAAAATCAATGACACCAAAAATTCATTCTTTGAAAAGAGCAACCAAAGTGATAAACCTCTAGCTAAATTGGCCAAGAAAACAAAGAGATCACCAAGGTTATGAATGAGAAATGGGACATCACCACCAATTATACAGAAATTAAAAGGACTATAAGCAAATATTCTAAGCAACTTTGACAACAAAGTAGACAACTTAAATGAAATTGCCAAATTCCTGGAAAGATGCAGATTGCCAAACTGACTCAAGAAGAAATAGAACATATAATATAATAAATAATTTTAATAAGTAATTAAAAATCATCTCACAAAAAAAAGCCGAGGCCTGCGTGGTTTCACTGGTGAGTTATATGACACATTTTAAGAAAAAATAATACTGATTTTTCACAAACTCATCCACAGTATAGGGGAAAAATACATTTTCCATTTCATTTTATGAGGTTAGTGTCATTCTGCTGTCAAAGCCAGGCTAAGATCATTTAGAAAATCATAGATAAGTGCCATGAATATGGACACATAAATCCCCAGAATTCAAGATTACTCATACCCCAGTACTTTTTTCCCCAATCCAAATAAATATTTTTTAACTCCAGTACTTCTAATAGCTATGTTGTAAAACCTATTTATACTTACTAGCACAAAAATGAAATTTTAATTTACAGTATGAATTTTATTTGAAAACTGCTTATTAGTGTATTTGCTTACATTTTTGGCTTATAAAATATATTTAGCATAGTTTTAAGAATAATAGTATAACAAATACCTATACATCCTGTCCAGCTTAAGAAATAGAATATTCAGTGTACTTTTGAAGATCCCTACCTATTCTTTACCTGTCCTCACCTGTCAGGTTTACCTGTTTCCTTCCTTCTTGATGAAGTCAGTTACCTGTAGTTATTCACTTGTTTTCTTATACAGTTTTGCTATACATGTGTCTTCTAAACAATATATTGCTTAGTTTTGTATCAATTTTGTATTGCTTAACTTTGTATCAATGGAATGATACTATGAGCGTTGCTTTTCTCCCCATGGGCACCATTATATTTTAATGAATAATGTTGATTCATGCAGGAATAGTCATTTTCACTAAAGTATTTCACTGCACAGGTATGCAATATACCTTTGATAATATTTATGAACATTTTGTTTCTATTGCAACGTTACAAATTGCAATAATATATATTATTCATAATCAACATTACGAATAATATATATTATTTACCTTTGATAATATTTATGAACATTTTGTTTCTATTGCACTGCTGCTGTGAATATTGTAGTTCATGTTTCCTTGTGCACAAATTCAAGTTTCTGCTATCTGAAAACATTGCATTGAGTATATAAGTCTTCTGCATGTTAATTCTTACAAGTAAGTTATAAATTCTGTTGTAGTCCAATAATATAAATTACAATTATAATGGAAAAATCAGAAAATTAAGTTACTTAAGTTGGTTTCAGCATTTTAAAGATATTTCATTGTATTCTGGCTCATTGTTTTTCCATTGAGAAATTTAGTTTGTTATTGTTTTGAAAATAACCTTTTTTTAGCATTAAAAGACAGCCCATGTCTCATGAAACCCTTTCCTGGGACACGAGAAGTCCCAGAGGATAGCCACAGGCAACTTTTGTCTCCTCGTCACCATAATGGATCTTCCATTGCACAGCATTCCCAGTACAACTGACGGGCACTGTGTCATGAGTGTTAACAGTTCATCTTTCACTTTCCTATTCTGTGCTTTGTATTATGATAGAAGTGTTTAGTTTTTAACATTCTGAATATTGTAACCAGGTTTTTAGAAGTTAACGAAAATGAGAATGATTGTAGTACCAGCACCATCCTGACTCAGACAACACCAGAAAAAGAAGATGCAATGACTGGGCTATTTTAACGACAGACAGATGGAAGGAACTGTACAACTGGATTAGGGAGGGCACATAACCAAATAGAGCGTGCTTCACAATGTGCAAAAAATATTTTGAGATTGGTCATAGTGGAGAATATGATTTGCAGAAAGCAAATATGAAGGCTGAATATTACAAATACTTTTAAGTCAATATAGGGTTCTGTCTCCCAAAAAGACTCCAGTGATCAGTTAAAAATAGTGGCTATTGAATTAGCTTGGCGATACCACAGAAATCAACACACATTAGCCTATTTTCCCCGTGATTATTTTGTAAACGGAATAGAGTTACATGTTTTGATTCAGAGGTTTCAACTAAAATATCCTGTGAGTAAACAAGAGAGGAACATGATTTCGCCCTTTTTAAAATTTAGAGCTTTTTCGGTCAGCTCTTACCAGTAAGCATGCTTTCTGTAGTATATTGTGTTGCATCAAACTGGGACAACACAAGTATGTTTTTCATAGAACCTGGGTACTGTGGTTTGAAAAATGAGTTTTAGATATCTTCTTGAATTCTAATATTTGTAATAAACTGCAAAAACATAAAACAAACTTTACTTATCTATCTGCATATTCAGTAGACAGTGCAGTGCAAACATAAATTTTAACAGATTCTATTTAATCCATAAAATTTTTTCCAATGAAAAAGAAAAAGATCTTATCTGCTAAATACCATGTGTTTGAAATATATATAACAATGCTGAAAGGAGAGCTCATTTGCTTACTGAGGGTTCATAATGAAAGTTTTTGTTTTAAAATATGTACAAACCATGAGATTTTTGACATTATAAAAAATATGAGGAATAACTTCTTTAGACAAGTGACTTTGAGATGGATATCATTGTTGACAGTTACAGAAAAGATGCTAAAATGTTCGTCTGCAGTGAAATTATATTTTCAAAGAATGGGACAAGAATACTATCCTTCTTTAATTCAAAAATACATCAAGAATGAGTGTTGTATAAAGAATTACAGTAAACAGAGATATATATGCTTTTTCTCCAAAACTGTTGGATGATCTTTGAAGAGGCTAAAAGGAACCTTGAAAAGGATGGTCTGACCTGAGTGGCTTATAGGTAGGCTATTACAAAAACTTAACAGTGAAAAATGAGTCAGTTTTTGGAAATAAGACTATTGAGAACTCAGTATCACCAGAAAGAGCCAGCCAGCTTAATAGGATTATCTGTTTTTTTTTTAAACTAAAACTATAATTATTAAGACTCTATCGTCAATCTTCACAAGTTTGAAGATTTTATGTGTTTTAAAATAATTTTCCTTGCGAAGAAGGAGGTTTATGATGACATGACGCTTCAAAGTATTAAAAAGTGGGCTTTTCAGACTTGGCTAGCTTGTTTGATGAATTCACACACCAAAAGGGCCTGACTGGACAAACTGGTCTGCCAGACAAGCCTTTAGATAAAAGGCGATGAACATTGTTTTCTAGAGCTAGAAACAAATCCCTACAGTTCTTAAAACCCACTGTTTTTAGTAAGTAAAATCCCATTATTCTATGGGTAAATGATTTTACTGAAAGGATATTTAACTTGATCTTAGCACATTGGGCTGGTAAGAGACATAAATATAATGTAGGCTTAAGAGAGAGCTGAAGGTCAAAGTGAATTTTACATTTGATTATACTCATTTATACCACTATATAAAACAAAAGGATATTCTAAAGACTGCAGGCAGATTAGAGAAGTTTTATTTAAAAAGGAAACACACAAAGTAAAAATATCCTATGGGATCATGGCATAAAAAGAAAATTGTTCATTTTTTAAATTAAATATAGATAATAGCACTTAAATAGTCCTTACGTGTATAATCTCATTTTAAGTCTTGCATTTATTTATTTTAAGAATACACAGTAGCATAGCCTCTAATATTTAAATATCTAACAATTAAGAAGTTAAAATTACTGTATCAGAAGACAAATATTATAAATACATTATCTATTTCATGTTATTTATTTAATTAGTCCTATTACACTTGTCATTGTTACTAAGTATTATTTTGTTTAATCACATGTGTGTAATAGAAAAGTAAAGAATACTGATTAATAGATACTTTTGGAAAACACTTATTTTGTATCTGCATAAATATTTCTTCTATATTACTTTCTTTGAGGGGGGCAGTCTGGTAAATTGTGACCCGTTACAGCTCTCCGAAAGTGTTGTCACCCTCTGCCAGGGAACAGTAATCCAGTGCTGTGTACAGAGTCTGTAGGAAAATTAAACTAAATAAATATTCAATGTTATTTTCAAATTTGCCTTTCCTTATTTCCTAGAAACTGAGTTTAGTGAGCTTAGAGGGTAAGTGAAAGGACAAAACCAACCAGCATCATGTTTCTCTTTAATCTTGGTCCCCTACTCAGGGTTTCCAGCTCTCCTGCTCCCCTTTCAGGGGGAACATGCACACACACAGCACAGCACACCCTCCTCTACACAAAGCACAGATGAAGCACCGTCTTCCCCACTCAGAAAGGGAAACCACCACCACACCTGCTTGGTTTACTGACAAGAATGTGGAATAAACAAAGGAGCATTGGAAGTTCTGTAGCCCTTTTTCTACACATTTATACCATGCTATTTACTTTCACTTTCTCCTTTTCTCCCTTTTCTTGATTTATTCATTTTTTCCTTGGATACTCTATTGGATAGCATGGAGAAATTATTTAAATAATGCCTTCTTTTGCTAGTTTTCTAAGAGTTACCATCCTCATCACTTGTTTACTCTCCAGAGCCTTCAGAACTAGAAATTCAAAGTTGACATCCTAAAGATGACCGTATTCCTAGATTTTTGGATTTTTGTCACTTTAAAAATTTTTATTGTATTTTTTTCCATTACCATTTAGTCCCCATATGTGCCCCTCCCCACAGCAGTCTACCTGTGAGTCTGTCTCATCGCTTTTCCACTTTTTGGCTACGAGCAAGGGTAGTATCTGTTCTTATCAGTTCAATATTAGTCTGTCGCTATTTTGCTTGTTAGTTCAGTTTGTTAACTAGATTCTACGTATGTGTGAAATCATATGGTATCTGTCTTTCTCTGACTGGCTTATCTCAGCATAAGCAATTTTTCACATTGAACCTCATATTTTGTCAGTTGCTGAAACACATTAACTTTTCAGATATTTTTTCCTCCGGTCACAATGGAACTTTACTGCAGTGTTATAAAACCAAATTTAGGATAAGGGTAGTCTTTTCTAAAGGCCATTCAAAGGATTGTTTCTAGTGTTAGATAAGTAATAAATGGCTTACTGTTTTGGCAATTACGTTAATTACACATCCAGGACTACTGAATGCTAAAAACTAATTCCTAATGACAGTATTTTGTATGTGCCAGACATTGTTCTTGGATGGTTTACATAAATCTCTTCTGGTCCTTACAATAACCTTGTGTGGTAAGACCTACATTTGGCAGGCTGCGTACAGTGTCTGCCTGCCAGGCTATATCACACGATGACAAGGAGGTTCTCGCTCTTACTTCAGCCTTCTTAAACATCGAGTTGTCATTTACAAATCAAGCATTTTCTGCCATTTACTTTTATTAATATGATTCCATTATTTAATTCTTTTACTATCAAGGCTTAATTTGTATTTAGAAATTCCAAAGATAATTACTATTGCTTTTCTGTTTGTTAGGCATCTCCAAGAGTTATTGTTGATGATTATTTGGTAGCAAAATTAGCAGATACTTTGAATCATGAAGATCCAACTCCTGAAATCTTTGATGACATTCAAAGAAAGGTATTATATATAACATTTATTATTAGATCTTTCTTGAAGAAAATGTGTATTTCCATGTGTATGTAATTTGTTTATTAACAGGTTACTGAAAATTATAAAAGAGGTAATTAAACAGAAGAGTTGTGGTAATAATACTCCTCAACTACAAAAATGGTAGGCCAGTTTTATTTGTTTAACAAATGACGAAAATGCTTATTTTAGGCTGTTTTATTTGGACCTGATTGCAGAACCAGATAAACAGTTTTAGAATTTCATGAATTGATGGTGTATGTAAATAACATCTCTCAAATTTATTTTAATGTGCCTTGAGCCTTTATGTGGACTTGTTTCTTAGACAATACTACTTCTTAGAACATTATGTATAGCCTGCTGTCATGTGATCTGTGTTGTAGTAGGACCTTTTCAATGCAATTTAGATACCAGTGGACCAAAAGAAGTCATTAATTGTGACATAGTCTTATTGCTAACATCTTATAAATAGGGTGCCATGATTCATTATAGCAAGACCTCAGTCTAGCTGTTGGTAAAATCCTACTAGTGGAAATTAGTATGTCATCCCTATTAATGATTGAATATCTTCATTTATTCAACAGGTATATGAACTGATGCTACGAGACGAAAGATTTTATCCTTCCTTCAGACAGAATGCACTTTATGTGCGCATGCTAGCTGAACTGGATATGTTAAAAGACCCTAGTTTCAGAGGATCAGATGATGGCGACGGAGGTGGGTGGCACACAGTGTGTGTGTGTGTGTGTGTGCGCGCGCGCGCATGTGCGTGTGTTCCTGTATAGTCTGCTTTCCAAATAAATGCCCTTTCAGACAAGATAAAACGTGTCTTTGAAGTCCAAATAACAATTATAATTAAAAATCTATAAATGAATGACAAAGTTTAGTTACCATAGTAAATTAAAATGTTGACAATTTAATAACAGATTAGAACGTATGACTATAGAAGCTTTGAATTCTTAAAGAAGAATACTTTTTTGAGTTTTGTCATGCAGATATTTTTACAGTAAATAAGAAGATTGTTTTCATGACTAACAATAAGATTATTGAGAAGATTAAATGAGAATAACAAGTAATGATTCTGAGAGGGTACTATAAACTATAAAGCTTTATGTTTTTGAACAAGTACAGTTTTTTCTCTTTAACTATATTGTTTTCCAAATATTGTACAGGATAAGCTGGAAGAAGCTACAAGAGTTATTTATTCCAGTCTTTTGGTTTTTTCAAATGAGGTTACTATAGCTTGGTGTAGTGAGGAAAGTGGACTGTAAGAGTCAGAATATTTATATTTTACTCCTGTTATGCTACATAGTACTTGTGTGATATTGACCAAACAATTTCTTTAAGTCTCATTTTTCTCAGTTGTGAATCTGGATTAATATTCTTCTCCTCATAATAAAGATTTTACCTCTGAGTCATTATCGGATTTAAATAGAATTATATACAGGGTCTGGCACAGATAACACTCCTTTCTTATTACAAAAATTTGTATTACAAAATCATAGGCATGTAATTCTGTGACATAATATCATACTCAAGCACACCATGTGACATTTTAGATCAAATGTTCAAATTAAAAGTATAAACCATTACACCCATATTATTACTCTACCAACCTCACTCAAGCAGGCCTTATTTCTGCCAGACCCTGTATATGTAAATGGTTTATAAACTAAAACATAAATTAAGTTTTTATTGGTAGTAAATAATCAGTTATTTAGAATAGTGGGAGAGGCAACCCTTAGAACACAAGGTTCCAGAATCCTAGGCCCATGACTATTTTACTTGTGATCCAGTTCAGAAGCACTTGCTAAACTCAGATTAAATATCTGAGGCTTGATAAACTTCTGGTATGTTCTACTAAGCAAATAAGCAATGTAAATAAAAGGTAAATGGAAAGGATTTGACTAAGGAATAGTTTAAGAGAATGCTTTAATTATAATCACTTACTTATGAATTGGTTTATGAACAGAACCACTTAGGGTTAGTGATATTAACAGATCTTTTAACTAGCGAGCACTGCTTTAAAAAGTGCCTCTATCATGGAAGTTTCCTAGCCTCCCTCCTCCTCCATCTCACACTCCTCCCAGTCTGTGTTAGTGAGATTTTACTTTTCAAATCATCTAGGAATCTAGTTGTGGATGTTTGTGTTTGAATTTTAATAACCTTTGTATTGATTATTGATCTAATATCTTGAGTTTTTAAATTAACTATCTTATTTGTAAAATTAGAATGATACTTTAACTGGATTTGATTGCATAATTAAGGAATACTTCTATGGGAGTAAAGTTCAATGTACCTCAAGTTTACTATATAATATATCCATATTTAGTGTCCATTGAAAAATCTTTTATAGCACTGCTATGAAATTTGCAGTAGCAGCTGTACTTCTAGAAAAGGTTGCTATAAATATTTTTGTTGTTTATTTAAATTTCATTAAGGAATTTCTTAGTACTGTGAAATGTATTTGCTGCATTATCCAGAATGAAAGAAGATAACTTGAATCATAATCATATCACTTAAAATGATAGTAACAATATATTCTGTGGGAGTAGTTTTTGATGCTATGGTGTAAAAACTCTCCCACTCTTCTAAATTGACTTTTAGCTTCCATACATGTCTTTCTAACTGTTCTATCTTATCTTCTTGTATTGCACTAATGGATATAAATTATTTATAAGCCACTTCAAACTTCCCAAAGCCTCATATTTACTTAAAGTAGATTTTAAAAAGTTTTTCTGCTACTGGTTTTGATCTGAAGTAAGTGTCATTATCCATCTGTCAGTGAGTAATGCTCACGCTGGAGTCATTGACTGTAGGTTGGAATTGCATATGTATGTATCTTTTGTCTTCCTAGGGGATTGCTTTTTGACATTGAGTCCTAATTGATGAGCTTTTATCTATTTTATCACTAAGAAATTGGCTATCCCTTTTTAAAAATTATTTGAAAAACATGTGGAGTGATGGGTATAAATATGAAATATTAAAAATAGCTGTAGGTTTATTGTCAGTGTTTAGGCTTCAGGCAATTACAACTTTTTCAAATAGTAAGGCTTATGATTTTCTCATCTTTATGAGATTGTTTAACCAAAAGTAGGCTTTCCCCACATCTTTTTATATAAATTCATTTTCTGACTTCTAAATTTAAGCTTTCTGACACTTTGTTCATATTTTAGACGTTCTGAAATTTTGGCTACTTTTCAGATATTTTGAAAGAATTGACTAATCCAGTGTTTAGTCTGTAGCTAATTTTTTGAAAATGCAGGCTATAGTTGAGCCTAAAATTAATGGGCCAAGCTTTATCAAGTAGAATAGTATCCTTTGGTGGTTTTTCTCTGCTGCGGAAGAAAGTTCATTCCTATTGAACCAAACTCCGGTAGATAGGTGGGAAGCTGACAGCTTGCTCATGCAGGCCCTCTCTCTCATCTCCTCTCTCCCTCCCCTTTCTTCCCTTTCTTCCCTTTCTTTTCCTCTTTATTTGTGATGGCTTTCTTTAGTAGTTCAGCTGTAAGTTATTTTAAAGTAGATATTTTCTTTTTTATTAAACACAGTCTTTTAAAAATATGTTTTCTGTTTTAAATTTTAATTTTAATCACACTTTTTCTCACCATGTCAAATTATATTTTCTTTTGTTTTCTAATATTTATAGACATTTGTCAAATTTCTTGATTAAGTGTAGACCTAGATGGATTTTAAATTCTATTTCTGCATCTTATTATTGTTTATTGATCAAGAAATTAAACTATTCTTGCCTTGCTCCTGCTTCCTGATTCCCTTTACCATTGGTAGGAAGATTTAAGAGGTGGCACACCACAGAGGTAGGAGGTATATATTGAAAGAGAATAGAGAACAATTTATTTATTCATTTAAATTATCACCTTGCTGTTAACCAAGAGGTAATCTTAAATGAAATTTCCTGTTTACCTTTTGTGACCACAGGTCTGAGGAACCAGAAAATGTTCTTGAGCATTTAGAATTATTGAAGTTGGAAAGCAACACCAACTGCCTTTTTCTGAAAGTAATAGAAATTTGCTTTTAGGATCTCTTTACAGATCCAAATTTGTTAATAATCTCTTAAGTGCTAGAAACCATACATAGTAATTTTAACATATGTATATAAAGGGATATCTTAGCTGTTAATTTGCTGAGATGTAGATAAAGCCTGAGAGGGGAAAAACATTAATTTTCATAAAATATAATGACTTACTCTCTAATAATTTAAAAAAATAATTTTAGTTGCTATTTAAATGGCATTGTACATGGAGTTTTACATATATTTTGCTCTATTAGTTATATATTGATTTAAGAATCTAGACTTCCAATGTTTTTGAACCAAATCTAACAAGAATAAGTAGACTTAAAGATATATTAAATATCTTTAATCCATTATTCACACTAAAGAGTGATTTTATTTGTAATATTTCTTAATCCAGTGAGACAGAAATGACAAAATACCTCTCACTTCCAAACACTTACTTTGCAGTGTTTCTTCTCATGTTTATATTGTATTAGACAACTTAATATGGTACTATGAGGGTAAAATATTTAATAGTTGCTCTCTTTATACATGAATGCCTTTGTGTGTGTGTGTGTGTGTGTGTGTGTGTGTGTGTAGGCAACTTAGGTACAGATGGGGGAGGGGGAATTAGGTTTACACTTGTGAGTATGCAAAACAGTTATTCTTGTATTATTACCTATTATTAGATTGTTTTTCATATGAACACCTGTCTATAAACTTACTTTTCCCCCACCATATAGATAAAATGTATATATATTTTCATTGAAATTCCTGTCTTGGAAAACCATGGGGCGTGAGGGGACAGGTGTTTGGAGTAGTATATGACAATTTTCTTAACTGTTCTGTTAATGTCTTGGCTTGGCCGACTTTCATTCTTGGTGTTTGAACCTTAGATAAAGCAGCTATTTCAAAAGTTTTTTACTATATGCTAAGTTGAATTTCCCTTCCCACAGAATCTTTTAATGGGTCTCCTACAGGAAGCATAAATTTGGTAAGTACTATTATGGGTACTTTAATTATTAAAGTGGCTTGAAAATAATATGAAAGGCAGAGCCTTAACATATAAAAATGAATGATAACATTAGAAGCCCCAGTATTATCCTTTAGTGTTATAAGAAGTTGTGCTTTTAAAGAAGTGTTAAATTCACATATAAGACAGGTGTGAATTAGAATTTGAAAATGAAACTTAACTTTCATTTTAAAAAATGGACTTGGGCCACCACTGCATGATTCACTTGCATTTGATTTAAAAAATTGATTTTATTGTTTTCAATCCTAATATTTAGTATTTTTAAATGACTAGTAAAGTCATAGGCAGTAAATTTATACAGACATGTACACATGTAAATGTTTACATTGAAATTAGTTTTTTTTCTTATATTTAAAAAAGATATATAAAACTAGTTGGGATATCTGAATGCTTCTAGATAATTCTTAAAGTCTATACTATAACAAATTCAGGTCGTTGTACATTTTATTATTTTTCTAAGATGAACAGAGTTGTACCTACTTAATTTTTTCAAGTCTGGAGAGTTTTATAGTGAATTAAGCAACTAATCTATGATTGCAGGTTTAAGAATGGCATGTTTTTAGCGTATAAGCTGTCATTAATGTTTCATGGATGCCAGGTGAAGTGTGAAATGATGAACATTTCAGTTCTTTTTAGTATATTCATTCTTGCCATTGAATAACTTAGTTCATAAAATGCTGCTAGAAAGAAATATTAGTGTTCCATAAAAGTTTCAGTTGAAGTTTGCAGGGCGTCGGGGGAGATTGTTCTCTTTGCTTTTCCTTCTACCTGCATTACTCTCATTCAGACGGTTATAATAGCCAAGTTGTTTAGAGGCCCACTGTATTGTGTTGTCTTCTGTACTGCACCCTTATTTCTAAAATAACCTCACTGAGCAAATGTTCTGTTCTGTCCCTTACAGAGTATAACCTTTAACAAAATACTGCAGCAAATCAGCCCTAGTATTATATATGATATTTTGTAACATTTAAAATGTTTCCCTCAATCATTTGGTATCACTATCTACTTGTTATATTCCATAGCCTTATAACAACAAGGAATCGCTCCTACAGCAGGAGAAAATGTTAGCGATAATTTTCATCATACAGAAAAGGTTTCCACTGTGACAAAACCTTTGATTGGTTTGAAATTTTCTAGTATTTACTTACATTTGTAGTGCTTATACAAGTGTTTGAACAGTAGTAAAAAGTAATTTTTTTGTTTATTCCATATCTGGAATAAATGTTTTTTTCAAGTAAGAGAAATCCCTTTTGTAAAGTAGTGATATAAGCTAGAACAGTCTCTGGATCCAAGAAGTTTTACCTGAGGTTAGTGAATTGCAACTTTTTGTTATTCAGATAAATCAATTAAATTCAGGCTTTTAAGTAGCTGGAGGTTTTTTGTTGTTGTTGCTGTTGTTCTTTTGTTATGTAGACAAATTTTAGTGGATAGTTGCATTTTTAAAATAGTTTAAGATTACAAACTAGATCATGATAGTTTATTCCAGTATACTAAGCAAATAAAATATTTAATATGTGGTGTTTTACTTATTTTGCAGTTGAAATTGGCAGATAAATTGTAAGCATTTGTAGCATTACCTTGTAGTTGTGTTTGCTGAGTTCATTGTAGTAATTTTGAATTTTCAAGGTTTTTTTCTTGGCATAATGTTAAAAAGAATACTTATTTTTCTTTATTTTTTCTTTCTCTTTTTTCTTTTTGGCAAGTTTAAGAGCTTCTAACCTAAGGATTACTTTACAAATTGTATTTTATTTCAGGACTGTATTAATGTGCTTGTTTTGAAATCATAATTTCCTTTTACTAATCAATACTTACAGTTCTTATCAGAGTGAAGTTCTGTAGTTAATATTTTTCACTCATTTTAATTATATACCCTACTTAATATTACATGTGCATTTAACTGTGACTAATGTTTAAGAGATGTGCCATCAAATTTTCTCATAATATTTAATGAAGATATTTATTAATTGTATGTTATAAATGTGCTAAAAAGACATTTATATGTGAAGTTTTCTAACAGTTTCAGGGTTGCATAGTATAAGATGCTGACATATGTAAAACAATGACTAACAGTTAGCTTTTTAAATACTACCTACAAGGGAAGGTTACCACTAATAATAATGCTTTTTTGAAAACTTGATTGTTTTATGTTCCCTATGCTGGCTTATAATTTGAAACTCATAGTAGATAATCTAAATTTTGTAGAAAGTATATTTCCTCTGAATCTTATATCTTTCATATAAAAATAATATTAAAGCAAAAGTTGTGCTATTTCTATAGCAATGTTATATTATAGATCATATGAGTATTTAACAACAAATTCTTTCTGTTTCCTTTCAAAGTATCTTCCTTCACATTGTGTCTGACAGTTGTAGAGCAGATCTTGTATTATTGGCAAAACTGAGATACGAGAAAGACTAGTTGATATGGCTAAAATCTCATGGTATCAATGCCGCATCCTAGACCAGTCTAATCGAATGTAATGATCCACTTGATGAGGGAATTACAGTGGATATCTGTCTGGAATTACCGCATTTGCTTCTCTTAGTGATCAGTCTTTAGTAGACATGCTTTTGGCTTTCTTCTTAGAATGCAGTTGCCTTAATTTAAATGGCTTTATTTCATAAGTGTGGCTGCATTCAAGTCATTTAGATGACTCTTTTAGTAATAATCGATTATATCACATTAGGACTTTAAAGTTCATTCAAATCACATGATTTTTAAACTGTAAAATATATCCGAATTACATAATATATGTATGTCAAAGATCCCTAACACCACCCCTATATTCATTGATTTATTGAGAGGAGTCATGCACCTCTGCATACTCATACTCATGGGCTAGGATTCATAGTAGCGAAAGGCTCTGAAGCAAAATCAGCAAAGGGAAAAGCCCAGAGGAAATCAGGCACAAGTTTCCAAGAATCCTTCCCCATGGAAGTCCCATAGGACAAAGGAACTTCCCCCAGCAATGAATGTGACAACATATGTGAAACATTGCCCCTAGGAAAGCTCACCTAAATAAGTGCCCAGGGTTTTAATGGAGGCAGGTCCCATATGTACCCTCTGCCTAGCATCTGCCACAATTCCAGACTTCCAGAACGAAAGCAGGTGTTCAGGATAAACCACATCATACAAACAGTTCAGGCAGTGTGAGCCACTCCTAGCAGTTAGGGAATGGTGGGAACCTTCCCTGAATCTAAAATTCCCACATGCCATCCAAAGGCCAGCATTGCAAGTAGTCTTCAGAAGCTTCATGCCTCCTGTGTTAACTCTTTTCTGGACAGTCTGTACTCATTTTATGATTATGTTCTTTTCTCTGTATGTGTGGGTGTATGTGTATGTGGCAAAATTCTTCAAATTTAGACCCAAAAAACATTGTTATAAAAGATTCATTCTGGGTCAATCACTAATAATTTTTGTTTGGAAAGTTAATTTAAAAATTATTTAAAATCCATATTAGGCTATGAATTCACTTCATTTAATAAGTAATCATAGTATTACTTAACATTTTTTTGTGTTAGGCAGTCTTCTGAATGTTTTATATGTCTTCTCATTTAATCCTCACATAACACTATGACATAGGAGCTATTATTCTCGTATAGATAAGGAATCTAAATTAACTAAGGTTATTTATAAATTAACAGAAGTGTTAAATAATACAGAGTTGGCTTTAGTATATTTCAACATTTTAAAAAACAGAAACATTAACTTAAGAATGTGTCCACTGCCCTGGTCAGGTGGTTCATTTGGTCAGAGCATTGCCCGTACACCAAAAGCTTGCACGTTCGATTCCCAGCCAGGGCACATGCCCAGATTGTGGGCCCGATCCTTTGTCCGAGCACACATAAGAAGCAACTGATTGATGTTTCTGTCTCACATCAATGTTTTCCTCTCTTTCTCTCTCCCTTCCCTTCTCTATAATCAATAAACATATCCTTGGGTGAGGATTAAAAAAAGAAAATGTCCACTTGTTTTTATCCACATTTTTCTTGCCATGTATTGAATATAACTGAAGTAGCAAATGTTAGTATATGGACAGACAATGAAAGAAGAAATAATTTTATTTATTAAGTTGATTTTTAAATTACTTTGTTTTATAGTTTCTTAATCTTGGATTTTCTTTCTCCTATTGGTGTAAATAGTGAGGATTATTGTTAAGGAGTGAGGATACAAATAAAAACCTTCTGTGGGGCAAAGATGAGTAGTGCATATATGATGTGAAACTTTTTTAACACTTTTTCCCTATAAAACTAAAAAATGTTTTCTGATTTTCCCCCCTAGTCTTTAGATGACCTTTCAAGTGTATCTTCTGATGACTTAATACAACTTCATGCTTACATTTCAGACACTGGTAAGAGACTTTGTCGTATATTTCTTATTTAAAATTTGATTATCATTATCTTTATGTTATTTTCCACATTTACTTTTACAGACCATTCTTCTGTTCTGAAATCATATTTTTAAGTTACTTTTTCCCCCCCTGCAGCATGTTCTTTATTGAATTCTATGATGTTTGTTTACTTATGTTATGGGTACTTCTTTTGTCTAAGGTTGTCACTATTAACATTTTAGGAAGCTCAAATTCTAAGCATTTTGTCATTGCTAATAAATTCTGAAACCAATCTTTCTCTCTTTGTTTGTGTCTAGCTGATAATTGTCTGCATAATTATTACTAAATCATTTGAGGGCAGATTTTACTTCATAGTTTGTTTTCATGCATGCGAAATCAGATTAGATAAACAGGGTAAATGAAGCTTTTAGGTACTGAGTTTACAGAACTTCAAGACTTGTTTAGATTAGGTGAGAAACCTAAGATTTTGTGGCTCCTAAACAACAAAACAAACAAACAAGCAAAATATAACCAAAGACACTGAAATAGAGAACAAGCTGAGAGGGACCAAAGGGAGAGGGGAGGGAATTTCAGGGGAAAAGGGGAAGGGTTTACAGGAACAAGTATAAAGGATACATGGACAAAAACTAGGGGGGTTGGAAATGGGAGGGAGGTGGGGAGGGCTGGGGGGGTGGGTTGGGATGGGAGCAGAAGACAGAAAACTGTACTTGAACAACAATTAAAATTAAAAAACAAACAAGTAAAATAAGTAAATAAATAAATAATAAAAAAATTAAAGCCAAAAAAAGAACATACATACTCTAATAAAAAACTGGACATAGGATCTGACCAGGTATTTCAACAAAATAAGTGTATCTATGTCAAAGAAACTTGTTAAAAGTAGTTCCAAATCATTAGTCCTTATGGAAACACAATTTATAACCACCATAAGATAATACTACGCACCTATTAAAATTATTGTCATAAAAAATAAATATACCAATTAAAAAAAGATTTTGTGTCTCAACTGAGGGGAAAAAATCAGTTTTCATCATCGCCATTAGATTACTAGATAACGCTAGTCTGGTAGAGAATGGTGTTTCCTTATCTGGAAATGCCTCTCCTTTGTCCTAGAGTATGGGAGTGTTGTGTCAGATTACGTACTGAAATGTAAACATGCTGAAATGTACGTGTCAGTTCAATACAGTGCTTATCTGATTACATTTTATATACTGAAATGAGATTTACAGTATAATTACAGTTTAAAAGATAATTTGCATCTTTTTTTAATCTGTTTTCTTTTGGTTCTTACTGGAGCTGAAATGTCATTTTGCATTCTGTTCTCTGCCAAATTTCTAGAATAAGTTATCTATAATTGCTGTCTCAGTTGTTCCTGTATCTTTACAAATAGTTGCTCTACACATTACTCTGTTCTTAAGGTCATTAGCTAAAACCCTTGTCAGGAAAACAACAGGTCTTATTTCTTGTTGCTTTTCTTTCTAGCTTTTGATACAGTTGTCTCACTTTTTCCCTCATTAACATTTTAAATTCTTTTATAAACCTCTATTTTCTCTGTTGGCTTGTCTTCCAAATGTCAAAGCCTTTGTTAAAGTGCAAATGTTCAGTATTTGTCCTTTTACTTCCTTCTTGAAGATCTTAAGCTTTGATGTCTGGAGGAAGACAGTCATGTCAATATTTCTTATGTGGACCTTTCTCTTCTCTGAAGAGTTCTTATTTTTCAGCTGCTTTGTCCCTTTATTCAAGTATTTATTAGCGTCTTCAAATGTATGGAAGCACAATGCTGAATGTTTTTAATAAATTGTTATTTCTGTCAGACAAACATATTTAAATGCTAAAGAAGCAGCATGTATAGTGGTTAAGAACATAGCTTTTTGTCCAAATTACTTGAGTTCAAACCTCAGCTCTGCCACTTGATACTTGGGTGAATTCCTTAACTTCTCTACTTCAATTTCCTCATCTGTAAAATAGGATAATGATAAATAATACCTCATAGGATTGTTATGGGACTGATTAACTCAAAAGAGTAATTACACAATGGGCATTTTATATTAGTGCTTGGTCTGTAAATGTTTATTCTACCAATTGGACTCCTGAGTCTATTTGAGTCTAGCTCACCATGCCCTTAACATCTTTATTACAGGAAGCAGGACTGATAGTCTGTCGCATTGCTACTCCCTCATTGAGAAATCTCACTTTAAGAAATACTGACCAGATTAAGCAGTGTGCTTAGTGATAATACTGATTTGTATTCTGGTCCTGCTTTCTTAATCTAGTTATGGATTAGTAACAAATAGTTGGCATTTCACCTGCTATGAGTAACATTGTCCTAATGAAAATGAAACCTATTATTTCCACTGCAATAGTCACTATCATCTCAAAATCAAAATACAGTGTCTGGCAGAAGTAACGCCTACTTGAGTGTTTTTGGTAGGGTAGTAATATGGTTGTAATAATTTATAGTTTTAATTTGAACATTTCACTTAAAATGTCATATGGTATGCTTGAGTATGTTATTGTTATGTTACAGAATTACATGCATATGATTTTGTAATAAAAGATTTTGTAATAAAAAGGGGGTGCTTTTTGTGCCAGACCCTGTATGTCACCTCATTTATCTTTGCTTAAAACCAAATTACCTTCTGCCTTCTGGCTGCTTTTATAATAACCCCATTACTTTTCCTATAGTGCATGCATCCTGGTTATGATCTCCCTGCCTATTAATTTGTGACAGATCTGATTATTCTTTTTTACAATGCTTTTTACATTTATCCTTTCTTTCCTTTTCTATTCCTAGCTATTCTTCTTGTTCTTAACTCCAGTTAGTTATGGTTTGCTGCCTAATTGACTTCTGCTTTCTTTTTTCCTTTCCCAAACCCATGTATAACACAACAGATAAAGCCTTTCCCTTATTTCCATGCTAACTCTGTTGAGTGATGGTGGTTCTCTAGCACAATGAAAAAGTGTATTGCAGTTTGCTATGCCTAGGTCTCTGAGAGAAGGATAATTGGAAGAGGTGAGCACTGAAAAACAGTGTTATCGTAGTTAAAGTCTTTAAGAGCAATGTAACCAAAGTCTTTCCCTAGTTTTATATTTTGCCAAATCAGGAACACTGATAGAAAGGAATGAAGGGCAGTTTTGAATAAAAAGTCCAAAGCTTAGAAAAATTTTGATGAAAGCCTGCATAGATTTTTAGTTTTTATATAATTAAAATACTTTACTAAGAAGCTACCCAGCCTGTTCTTTGCATAATTATATACAAAATAAAAAAAAATTTAGTCAGCTCCAAACTCAGCCACTTTTTGTTCACAGTGTGGATCAATATAATCTGTTAGAAGAACAATTTTGGTCAATATGGTAGTCTAAACTGCTATGGGAAATGCCTCCAACAGAAAGGTTGAAAACAATAAAATACAAATAGCTAAAGGAGGAAACCTACAGATGCATAGACTATGAGGAAAACAAATTTAAGAAAGTGAAGAGTTATTGAAGCCAAGGAGCTCATAGGAGCATGAAGACTGCTATCCTGGTATTGACAGCATTTTTATGTCCTCGAGCTTAGAAGAGACAGAATGGGCTAAGGCCATGGGAAGCTGGAGCCCTGACCTTTGCATAAAGGGTGGCTTGATGTGAAGAGATACTAGAAAATTTTAACTTGCTGTCAAGGACAGAACAAAGAATGTAAAGATCATGGTTAGAAATACAGTATCTGTCACCCAGAAGAAATTGAAAGCCTGTCTGTGTCCCAACATGGTGTGTCTGGATTCATCTATCTTCAAGTGATTGTATTCCACAGCATCTCCTAGCCTGAGGGTGTATTTAAAATATTCAGAGAGATAAGAATATAACACTACAAAGAAAGAACCAAGTAAAATTATAGAAATAGAAAAAAATACAGTTATTAGCCCTGGCTGGTATGGCTCAGTGGTTGAGTGCTGGCCCGCAAATCAAAGGGTTTCTGGTTCCATTCCCAGACTAGGGCACATGCTTGGGTTGTGGGCCAGGCCCTCAGTAGGGGGCACACGAGAGACAACCGCACATTGATGTTTCTCTCCCTCTCCCTCTCCCTCCCTTCTCCTCTCTAAAAAAATAAATAAAATCTTTTAAAACTATATATATAATGATTGGAATTAAGGTCAGTGGATGGAATAGACCAAAGATAGATGAGTGGAGACTCAATAAACATTTGGAGACTTTAAGAAATGATCTAGAATAGAATACAATAAAGAGAGATTAGAGAATGGAGAATACGAAAGACAAATTAAAGGATTAAAAGGGCAAGCATCTCTTTCCTTGAGATTAGTACAAAATATGAACAAGTGGATGGTTTGTAGAAAATCAGTAGGAAAATGCCTTTTAAAAATCTCCAGAATAAACTGCACTTGTAAACTGTGGAATATTAGAAATGAGAGTGAGTTGCCCAGACAGCAGATAAATCTTATCCCATGGCTTTTGCTTTCTGTTCAGTTGAGGGCATTTTAGAAGAAATATAACTAAATAGTTAAGGCTAGTACTAAAGGTTATTATTTTGTTCTGTTATTTTTCTTATATGAACTTTAAGACTCCAATGCTGTAGTGTGAGGTGGTATTGTGGTATCATAACTAATGATAGAAGTAAAAGCTCATTGGGAAGATAGTCCAAAGTAAACATCACTATGTGGTTGGTAGTGTCATTATAAACTTGTAGTTTACTGTGCAATGTAGCCCTCATATTTAATACCTTTCGGATGTGAGTACAGCCAATGGGAATCTGTTTTATCCATTAGAGACATCTTTTAGTCTCAAGTCTGTCATTTCAAATTCTTCATTTCATGTCGTCCTTTTTGTTTGTTTTGTTCTTCATCTTCCCCCTTTTTGTGTCTTTTTGTTCCTCTTCATTTTGTTTTAAATGACTAGTATATGCTGACTATGACCCATATGCTGTGGCAGGCGTTTGTAATGATCATGGCAAAACATACGCCCTGTACGCCATCACTGTGCACCGGCGCAATGTGAACAGTGAGGAGATGTGGAAGACCTACCGCCGTTACAGTGACTTCCATGACTTCCACATGAGAATCACTGAACAGGTAACGAGGGTTAAAGTTTGTGTGCTTTAAATTGTTTCCAATTCAGTGTTTGATTTTGAATAGTTCTGAGAATGCTAAGGTATTGACCAAAGCTAATGACAGAAAACAAGGTAAAAATTTCTGTATAATCAGCATAAATGTTAGAATGATTTCTGAGCACTTAACCAATGAGTCAACTTTAAGCAAACATAACCATTGTAAACTAGACAAAATATCGGTGGTAGACCTTGGGAAATTAAAATGAATGTAACCCTGGCGGGGTGGCTCAGTTGGTTGGAGTGTCATCCTGTACATCAAAGGGTTTCAGGTTCCATCCCTGGTCAGAGTGCGAACAGGAAGCAACTACTCAAAGTTTCTCTCTCACATTGATATGTCTCTCTCTCTCTTTTGCCTTTCCTCTCTCTCTAAAATCCATAAACATATCTTTAGATGGGAATTTTAAAAAATAAGTAAAATGAGTATATATTTCTTATTTTAAGAGTTGTGTGTGTATATGTTTTGTGCTTTGCAGAGATATCTGGGTTTGGTTTAAAGTGAGAATGGGGATCACCATAAAACATTTTCTGGTTTTGTTTTCAGCAGTGGCATTCAGAGCTATAGTCATTTTAAAGGACGTTTTTATTTAATGTAATAGTTAAATCTTTGATCCATTAAATTATTTTAAGAACCATAACCTAAATTACATTTAACATTAACCAAATAACATTTTTAATTTTTACTAAATATTAAATGTGTTATAGAAGTATAGGGACTGTTAAAGATAACAAATATAAACAAATCCTTTCTCTGTTCTATATTTATTAAGTATAAAATATTAAATATTTTATTAAATATAAGATTAAACATGTTATTAAATATAAAATATTAAATGTTATTAAGTACAAGGCATTGAATATATTATTGAATTTAAAATATTAAATGTGTTATTAAACACAGGGCATTAAATGTTATTAAATATAAAATATTAAGTGTTATTAAATATTTTATTAGATATTCTGTTTTTATTAAATGTTCTACTTTAGTAAATATTTTATTAAATCTTTTCTTTTTATTAAATATTTTATTTAAAATGTAAATATGTTATTAAATATATTTCTCTGTTCTATTTTTTATTAAATAAACAAATACTGTCCTTAACTTAGAAGAAAATAAACCATCAGTGGATGAATTGGAATAGATTAGGTGATCTATGAAATTTATTTTAATTTCTTGAGAGTCTTTGATTTCATTAAGTTTTAATATATGCAACTGGTATTAAACCAGTAAAAATTATAATAATGGAGGCATTTGACTGGGTGGACTAAAGCTTTGAAATAACATTGTACCAGTTTAGCAATTAGAAAATGCCTTATTTATTTAAGATAGTGGGGGAAAAATGATTGGCACTATTACTAAAATATTTTTGAATGAGGTACACTATTAAGAGTTTAAAAATTATTAAAAACAGGTTAGTGTTGATTCGTAAAGCCCACATTAAAAGGACTATTTTGAATTACCGTATTTTGCTATGTATAATGCATGCTTTTTTGCCCAAATTTTTGAGGTAAAAATAAGGATGCATATTATACATGGGTAGTACTAATTCTGTATCTGTATAAGTGTTTTTAATTCTTTTATTTATGCTTATGCATGAGAAGTGTAACTCTAGAAAGCAATGGTGATATCTATATGCAAAGTAATACCCTTTATAATACCCCAAAATGTATCTAAGTATAAATAAATGATTGAATTAAAAAATTAAAAGATGTTTTTCCTGAGAGTTTGAGCCGAAAACGTGGGTGCGCATCATACATGGGAGCACATTATACATAGCAAAATGCGGTATATTCAGAAGGAAATGAATAACTTTGGACACATCTGTTCTTCTCTTCATGAGGTGAAAGAATTTTTTGTCCCATATTGAAGAAATAATTGTTTTAGATTTATAAAATATTATCTGTTTGATACTGTTTTAAAACCCATAGCTTACATATTTTTTCTCACCCTCACTTTAACCAGAGGACAAAGTTTAAGATAATTTGAATGGCTAAAAGTAATTTTATTTACTTGGAAATTAATGGGAATTTTCCATAATATTAAATTTTTGTGTGTGTGAATAGCTCTGATTTTATTTCTGCTATTAAAAGGAATAATCATTGCTTAATTTAAATGTTCTAGGCTAGAATTTCCTGTGTAAATGTTATGTTTACATATTGAAAAATGTAAGTGAAAACATACTTTTTAAAAACTTAATAGAACAGTTTATAAAGAAGTTTCCCTTTTCAATACAGAAGCAGAGATTTAATGAAATTGATAAAGTACAGTTCATTTTTGAAAGGGCTCAGTGCAGATGAAATAGATGTAGATGTGTTTTGTGTTTGTGTTTTTTATAAAGTCACAGTAGTGTATGATTCTGTAAGTATTTAGATTGCTTACAGAGCTTAAGAAATTAAAAACTAAGGTTGTGAATGAAAATTTAGGTTTAAGCAAAATACTAAGTATTTCTGAATAAGACTAAGGCTGTTTGCCTTTTAGCTCTGCCTTATCTATATTTTTATTTGTTTTAGTTTTTAAAATGCCACAATTTAATTTGCATTTTCAATTTGGTTTAAAAATCCTTAATATTTACATATCGAATATTGTGTATAAAAGCTATAAAACTTTTGCTCATTTCTCTTTTTATATTTTTTATTACTGTTCAGTTATAGCTGTCTCTTCTTTTTCCCCATTGCTCTCCTCTGCGCATCCCCTCCCACTCCCACCGTCAGTCCCCCCATTGTCTGTGCTCGCAAGTTCTCTATTTGTGTTCTTTGGCTTGCCCCTTCCCTTTCTTTCCCCTGTTATCCCACTCCTCCCTCCCCTCTGGTTACTGTCAATTTGTTTTTTTATTTCCAAGTCTCTGGTTCTATTTTGCTCATTTGTTAGTTTTGTTGATTAGGTTCCACTTATAGGTGAGATCATATAGTATTTGTTTTTCACATCCTGGCTTTTTTTTTTTATTATTGTTCAAGTACTGTTTTCTATCTTTTACTCCCATCCCAGTCTACCCACCCAGCCCTCCCCACCTCCCTCCCATTTCCACCCACCCCTAGTTTTTGTCCATGTGTCCCTTTATACTTGTTCCTGTAAACCCTTGCCCTTATCCCCTGAAATTCCCTCCCCTCTCCCCTCTGAACACTGTCAGCCTGTTCTCTATTTCAGTATCTTTGGCTTATTTCCCTTAACATGTTGTTTAGTTCCATCCATGCTGTTGCAAAGGGTAGGAGTTCCTTTTTTTGCAGCATAATATTCCATTGTGTAAATGTTCCACAGTTTTTTGATCCATTCATTTACTGATGGACACTTAGGCTGCTTCCAGCACTTGGCTGTTGTAAGTAACACTGCTATGAACATTGGGGTGCATAGTTTTTTTTTGAATTGGTGATTCAAGATTCTTAGGGTATAATCCCAGCAGTGGGATCGCTAGATTGAAAGGAAGTTCCATTTTTAGTTTTTTGAGGAAATTCCATACTGTTTTCCACAGTGGCTACACCAGTCTGCATTCTCACCAACAGTGCGTGAGGGTTTCCTTTTCTCCACATCCTCGCCAGCACTTGTTTGTTGATTTGTTCACGATGGCCATTCTGACTGGTGTGAAGTGGTATCTTACTGTGGTTTTAATTTGCATCTCTCTGATGGCTAGTGATAGCGAGCATTTTTTCTTGTGTTTCTGGGTCCTCTGTATGTCCTCCTTGGAGAAGTATCTGTTCAGGTCCTTTGCCCATTTTTTAATTGGGTTGTTTGTCTTCCTGGTGTGGAGTCCTGTGGGTTCTTTATGTATTTTGGAGATCAAACCCTTGTCCGAGGTATCATTGCAACTATATTTTTCCATATATTGGTTCCCTTTCCACTTTGTTGATGTTTTCCTAGCCATACAGAAGCTGTTTAGTTTGATGAAGTCCCATTTATTTATTCTTTCTTCTATATCCATTGTCGTAGGGGGGACATATTGGTGAAAATATTGCTGCACGGGATATCTGAGATTTTCCTGCCTGTTTTCCTCTAGGACTTTTATGGTGCCACAATTTATATTTAAATCTTTTACCCATCTTGAGTTTATTTTGGTGTACGGTGTGAACTGGTGGTCTAAATTCCCGATAACATAGCAGAAGGAAAAAATGTAGTGACTTGTGATTCGCTATTTGGTAACAGTACGGCCTGTTGACACAAATTTTAACTTTATTGAACTGTTAAAATATTAAATTTACTTTAAAATAGGTTTCATTTTATTTATTTAACTTTATGATGTAAACTTCTTTCAGTCTAATTGTATGAACTATCATGTATCTTTTAAAGATTTTTAATAGTCTGATTTGATATTTTATGGATAAAGAAAATGAAAAGGAGATAATTAAAATGTTCAGTGTCATATTATATTAGAAATGGGCTGAACTACCCATTTATTTATTTAGCAAATATGTATTGAGGTTTTTTATGCATCTAGTACAGTTCTCAGAGCTGGAAATAAAATAAGGAACAACAAACCCTGGCCCCCAGGAGTTTACATTCCAGTAGATTCTGTGGTTGTGTGTAAGTATAGATAAAACAGCAATGATTTAAAAGATACTAAGCATGGCCCTGGCTGATGTGGCTTAGTTGGCTGTGTTACTGGAGAAACCCTGGTTCTTCTCGGCAATGCAGTAAACAATTACAGGTCAGAGAGCATGCAAGCAAGGATTATTAGTGAATGAGAGAACAAAAGCAAGGGTGGCCAGCTCCCAGGTGGCCAGAAGCCAGGTGGCCATAAAGGGGTGGCCAGAGAGCCCCACAAGCCAAGAGAGTATGAGTCCTTTACTCTAAGGACTTACGTAGTTGCCAAGGTGGGATGAGGGAGTTACATTTTGATTGTCAGGTAAAGGTGGTGCCAATTTTCCATGGAGATGGGATTGCCTAAATGTAGGTATGGGTGGGGGTCTGTTAGCTCAAATTCTTATCTTGCTTCAGACTCTATTTGCTTGTTTTGTACATGACAGGAGGCACACAGTTGATCAAAGTTGTTTATGGGCTTTTTCTTTTGGACACTGTAGTCCCCCTCCCCTTCTCCATTCTAGGCCTTGGGATGAATACACAGTCTCAAGGTTTTCCTTTTCCCAGCTGGTGGAGATGATACACACAGACTTTCAAGGACTTCCCACTTTTCCTACACTATCATGGTTTCACTTGTTGGGAACGCCTGGCAGCCTCATCAAACCAGGCTCAGGACTACTGGGTCACAGGTGCTGGCCAGCAACAGCAGAGAAGCTTCAGGCTTCTCCCTGTGCTATCTCCTGCAACCGCTGGAGTGTCATCCCATAGACCGAAAGGTTGAGGGTTTGAGTTCCAGTGAGGGCACATGCCCAGGTTGTGGGTTCCATCCCCGGTTGGGGTGCATATGAGAAGGCCAACAATCAGTGTTTCTCTGTAACATCCATGTCTCTCTTCCCCACCCATATTCCCCTCCTTTATCCTCCTCCCTCCCCCCTTCCTCTCTCTCTAAAGGCAATGAAAAAATGTCCTCAACTAAGAATAAAAAATAAAAGATATTAAGTATGTATTAAAGTAACTAAGTAAAAGTATATTTGTGCCTAGATGAAAACACATTTTCAATCCTTCTAACATAAAATGTTGAGCATGTTTTTTTAAGTTTTCCAGTAGTGTATCAGGAATCTAAACCTGACACATTCAGTATGGAAAGATAAAAATCTTTGATTTTGGAATGTGTATGATTCCTATAAATTACTTGAGTTTTTTTGTGAACATTGAAATACTCCTTATTTTTACTCCTTCTTTTAATTCTTTTGAATTCTATAGGTAAATTTCTAATTTTTAAAAATATCTTTTAAAAATATTTTTATGAATTTGTGGCAGAGGGAATTATATTACTCTTCATGAATGGGCCATCTTGTACTGTAAATAATCTTTTAAATGCTAAGCTTATAAGTTAATATGAAGTATAAAATTTCCCATTTTTCCTTTTGTAAAAAATATTTGAGGAAACCATTAATCATATATGCTTCTGTTCCAGACAGATAATTTTTTTTAAAGATTTTATTTATTTATTTCTAGAGAGGGAAGGGAGGGGGAGAGAGAGAGAGAGAGACAGAGAGAGAGAGAAAGAGAGAGAGAGAGAGAGACTTCAATGTGCGGTTGCTGGGGGTTATTTTATGGCCTGCAACCCAGGCATGTACCCTGGCTGGGACTCGAACCTGAGACACTTTGGTTCCCAGCCCGAGTCCAGACAGATAATTTTAAAAGGAGTTTGATAACTTAGACTTCAAGAAAAAAAAACTTATTGTAACATTTAATTTTTTCTTTTCATTAATAAGGTTTAATATTTTAAAGTTTCTGAAATTTTTTTTACTGATATTGTTATATTCTCTTAGTGTATTACTTTGCTAGGGCTGCCGGAACAAAATACTACAGACTGGGTGGCTTGAGCAAAACGAAATTAAGTTTTTCATAGTTCTGGAAGCTACAAGTCTAAGTCCTAGGCGCTGGCTAGCTCAGTCTCCCCTGAGGCATCTCTCGGTGGCTTTCACAGTTGACTGCCCTTCTGACTGTGGCCTCACAGGGCCTTTTCTTTGCGGGCTCTCATTCCTGTGTCCTCTCATGTGTCCAGATTTCATTCTCATAAGCACAGCAGCCAGATTCGAACAGGACCCACCCTAAGGACTTGCTTTAATTTCGTCACCTCTTTGAAGGCTCTGTCTGTGCACACAGTCACCTTCGGGAGTCCTGGAAGTGAGCGCTTCATGTTGGGGACGACAGTTCAGTCCAGAACACGTTGGTAGTGCCAGAATAAACTGCGTCCTGTAAAATCAAGTCTGTAGTTTAAGATAATGTAGATAAGGAATATTCCAGGAAATTAAATATCTTTTAAGATGTCTTGAAAAATTAAATTTACTTCCATTAGATATGATAAAAAAAATTGAGCCATTGGCCATTTGATGTCCAAGGAGGAGCCATTCTAATACTTTTGTGAATCAACAAATTGATGAATATCACTACAGCATAATGTTTTCCCTGTAAATAGCCTCTCCGCTTTTTTGTTTTTCTCACTTTGGCTGGGGCAAAAGAACTGCTTTTAACTTTGGTTGTAACATACAGTGAACTTGTTCACATTATAGCTCCAAGCAACCATCTGGTTTGCCGGTCCACGTAATAGTTTATCACAAAGAATTTTCCAGCTTGGGGATAAAAATTATCCTATATCTTTTCACTTCCTCTGTAATCTCTGCACCAGAAGTGAATATTTTAATATAGAATGGTTTTAGAAAGTTGTTTCATTTGAGAATATGTATCATATAAGAAAAGCAATGAAGCTGCTTAAAGTTTCAGGTGGGAGGCTGTTGTTGGCCAGGCAGAATCTCTGACCATTGTAAATAATGGGACTCTTAAACATTAACAGCTCGTGTGGTTAAAACAGCGCTTTAGCAAACCACAGCACATTACCACATATCTGGAGCTTTGAAGGTGCACCCAAATGTTAAGTCTATAAATGCTGATGGCTTTATTTACTTTTTTTTGTTAGTAATCTGAGAATTTATTTTTCATGTAGTTGGTGGGTATGTATTAGTGTAGTACTACAGTTGTATATTGCAGAGTTGTAATATAGCTGTAACCTATATATATTTTTTAAAGATTTTATTTATTTATTAGAGATATGGGAGGGAAGGGATAAAGGGAGAGAAACATTGATGTGAGAGAGAAACATCGATAGGTTGCTTCTCAAATGCACCCCGACTGGGGACCGAACCTGCAACCTAGGTATGTGCCCTGACTGGGAGTCAAACCAGAGACCTTTCACTTTGCAGTACGACACCCAACCTACTGAGCTACACCAGTCAGGGCTGTAAGCTATATTTTTAAATTTCCTTTTCTACTTTTAACAATTAGCCATTACAAGGATTAATTTATTTGAAGTCATCAATATAAAAAGTATTTCTTTATAAGATTTTTTAACAAGCCAGGAACTCATAACTTTGATCATTATCAATTTATTTGCTAATACTTTATGCACGAGTCAAATGGTTGTTAAGGACAATTTTTTAAAAACCTTTTATTATAAAAATTTTGAACAATCTCAAAATTAGAAAAGGCACTAAAATGACACCCCATGTGAATATCACCCATCTTCCACGGCTACCCACGTTTGTCATTCTTCATTGAAATGGCTTTATAATAAACAACATTAGAACTGGTTTGGAGATACTTGGAAAACGCTTTTCTATTTTCTGATTTTTGCTTAATGAAATATATTGCAAAATGATCTGTTCAAGATGCTTTTGATATGTGGAGAAATTGTCACTATGAAAATACTTTTCTCTTTTTTAGAGAGAGGAAGAGGGAGGGAGAGACACAGAGAGAGGGGTGGGGAGAGAGAGACATCAATTTGTTGTTCTTATTTATGCATTCATTGGTTGATTCTTGTATGTTTTCTGACTGGAGCTTGAACCCACATCCTTGGCCTGTCAGAGTGATGCTCTAACCACCTGAGCTATCCAGAGCCTACTTTTGTGTTTCGTAAAAAATTAAGATTATTGAATGTATTTTGTCTTCTAGTTTGAAAATCTGTCAAGTATATTGAAGCTTCCTGGTAAAAAGACTTTTAATAATATGGATAGAGATTTTTTAGAAAAGAGAAAAAAGGATCTTAATGCATATTTGCAGGTAAGTTCATGTTTATTTCCCATAGATTTTCATTTTAATATAGCATACATTTCTTTATTAAGGAATGAATTTCTATAATAGCAATCACTTTTGAATAGCATGTCAGATGTGACGTGCAATTTGTTCAGTAATTTATCAGTATTCATTTTCTGCTTATTAATTAACTAAGAAGTTTTCTTGACACTCAGTGCTGGGGTTTTGCTTCTTCAAGTTTAGATTAATACAAACACGCAGACACACCTGTCCATTCTACATTACTATAAGGGCTAAGTGTCTTATAGCAGAGTAAACAGTTACATTTTTCCAGTTCAGTAGATAGTAGTGTAGATAGTAGTTCTTCATGAGGTATCCAAAGCTAGCAGATTTTATTTCTCAGACAAATGCATATAGCTGCCTCCCATGGTCCAGAATGAGTCAGATGCTTCTAAAATTACAGGGTAATCGAAGCGAGGACTAGATCTGAGGGGCTATTTCTGATGTGTAGCATTTTAAGCTTGCAGATTTCTCCTGTGGGACAAGACAGCGGGTCTCACAAGATACTGTGTAAGCTGTTTGGACTTCCAGAAATAAAATTGTTTTAGACATGGGTACCCAGATTCTAGATTTAATAAATTATTTTTATAATTTTTTTATACTAATGAATGGTTTACAAAGTTTTCTCCTCTATTACACAAGGCTTCAGCTGAGGTACGCATGTATTGTTTCACTCTTCAGCGCCCCACTGCATCCTCTATAACGGGTCAGCAAATTAGAGCCTGCAGTCCAAATCTAGCCCACCACCTGTTTTATTAAGAGTAGTTTCAGCAGAAACTCTGTGGACCACAAAACTTAAAATAATTACCTGGACCTTTAGAGAAAAAACTTGCTGACCCTGCCTTAAGCATTGAGTTTAACTTAGCTAATATTATACTGGATATTTTGCTTTTGAGGTTTCTTTCTGTCTCTTAAATATTTATGTTTGTTTGGGTTTGTTGATAACCATAATTGTAATTTCCATGCATTGTTATTTACTGAAAGGATAGCAAAAACTGGTAAATTTTGCCTTTATTCAATTTTGTCTTCTCCTGGCTTAAATCTGAATGTCTGACACAAATTTTATTACTTTTGTCAAATGTTTTTACTTTTTTAATATACTAACTTTAGTTGAATTAAAATCTGTGATAGTTACTTGTAAGATTTAGAAAATAACCTCCTCTTCCCAAATTGGGCATCATCATTGTATCCTTTAAATGCGGTTGTACTGTATACTTCTTAGCTAGTGAACTTGGTGTGTTAGACATGCTTCCTTGAAGGGGCTGAGCTACAATGCTAGGCTGCATCATGAGCAGTATCATTAACAGTTTTCATTAAAACAAAAAAGCAGCATTTTTTTTATCACATTTGAGAGTTTTTGTCTGGAGTATTTTATGTATTTTCTATTAATGTTAAATTTGAAATTAGTATTTGAATAACATAACAATTTATTAATGTGGAACTTAGTATTAGCTACAAAACCTGAAAATGGAATAGTGCTGAAAGTCAAAATGACAGATAGAAAAAGTATACACCAAACTATTAATGGTAATAGAATTATTGATGACTTTAACTGTATAATTATTTTTAATGCAAAATTAAAATTCTTTACTTCCTTCTTTCACCTATTAGTTACTGTTAACTCCTGAGCTGATGAAAGCTTCCCCAGCTTTGGCCCACTATGTGTATGATTTCCTCGAGAACAAAGCCTACAGTAAAGGAAAAGGGGATTTTGCTCGCAAGGTAAGCAGACCATTGCATTTTCTTTACAGGTCTATTTTCATGCTTTGATTTTGATATTAGAGAATACATTTATATTTATGTACATTTTAAAACTAGATAATTTTTAAGTGTTTCTTGACATGTTTATCTTCTATGCTTTATTAAGCCTACTACTTATGGTCGTATCTAGTAAGTGTAAACTCCTGTCTTCACATGTAGATTGAATCAGCAGTAGCTTCAAAGAAAGGAAAAAAAAACTTTGAAAATGATGCATGAAGGAAGGTTTACCTAAGACAGATCACAAGTTTTTGTTAGCTTCAGAAGGAACTGTTTCTTACTGGGAGGAAATGTCTTACTTGGAGTAAGGATGAGAAAAGGGCTAAAATAGGATATGTTTTTCATACCTCTTAAATGAAATCTTTATTATTTAAAATTCCTTTTTGTTTACAAGGCCTGCACTTGGATAATATACTAGATTAAGACAATAAGTGATTAAGTTCTCAAATTGGGTGAGCTAGCTTAGTGGGTAAGAATACAGAATTTGGGATCCATCATCCTTTGGTTCAAATCCCTGCACTTCCATATACTAGCTGTGACCTGCCACACGTTACTAACCTTTTCGATCCTTTAGTTTTCTCAACAAATGAAGATGTTATTCCTCATTTTAGAGCATCTTGTGAATCAAGTGAGATAATCCGTATATTGCAGTGCCTGGTGCATAACTAACCTGAATAAATGTTGGATCTTAGTAGAAGCAATAGGAGTAGTAGCACAAACAACAACAGCATTTGGAGAAGCTAGATGAAGGTACTCTGTGTATTATTTTTGTAACTTTTTAAAGGTAAAATTATTTTAAAATGAAAATTAAAAAGAAAAAAAAGACTCTCTTGCCTCCCTTCACCTAAAAAGACTAAAAAAAAAAAAACACCATTAAGGAGTTGTTTCAAAAAATTAAAGATAGAACTGCCTTATGACCCAACGATTCCACTTCTGGGACTATATGCAAAGAAACCTGAAACACTAATTTGAAGAAATATATTCTCCCCATCTTCACTGCAGCATTATTTACGATTGCCAAGATTTGAAAGCACCCTGAGTGTCCATCAGTAGATGAGTGGATAAAAAAAGCTGTGGTACATTTACACAATGTAATACTACTCGTAAAAAAGGAAATCATACCTTTTGCGACAGCATGGGTGGACCTGGAAAGTATTATGCTAAGTGGGATAGCCAGTCAGAGAAAGACAAGTGCTATATGATTTCAGTTACACGTGGAATCTAATGAACAAAAACTAACAACAGAAAAGAAAGACTCATAAATCCAGAAAACACTGATAGCTGTCAGAGGGGAGGGGGTTAGGGGGCTGGTTGAAAAAGGTGAAAGGATTAAGGAAAGTAAAAAAACTCATGGACACAGACAACAGCATGGTGATAACCGGGGGGAGGGGGTTGGGGGAGGTAAAAGGGAATAAATGGTAATGGAAAGACACTTGACTTGTGGTGAACACACAATACAATGCAATATACAGATGATGTATTATAGAATTGTACACCTGAAACCTATATAATTTTATTAACCAACATCACCCAATAAATTCAATAAATTTTTTAATTGAAAAAAACATTAAGGAATTTGTACAAAGTAAGTAAGACTTAACAGCTGTAAGCAAAAGAACTTCCTGTGACTACTCTATGATGTTTTGGGTTTTAATATCCAACTGGATGTTGACATTTCTAAGTGGAATGTTTTGTTTTAATAACAACTTCTAGATCATGTACCTTATGGTAGGAGAGAAATGTGGTGGTCTTATGTTTGCATTTTGTAATGGAAGCTGTTGAGTTTAAATTCAAACTACAAATGGTTTCATTGTCAATAGAGATGTACTCATGTATTTCACCTTTTTGTGTTCACCTTATTTTCTCTCAAGGTTTCATCAATTTTAAGAAAGCTAATAAATTGATAACAGCTTTTTGAAATAAAAGAAGCATTGTATTAAATGTACATAATTTCTTTTTACTAGCAAACACTATATATATCTGAATAGTTATAGATCACTTTAAAAAATTATTGCTGGAGTCTTAAGATCATTCTGAATCATTTCTGGAAATCTACAACATACATTTAAAAAAATAAATCATCTCTGTAATTACCAGGGTCATTTTGATGTCTTCTAGATTGTCAGAATAATTTTTATATATAACAGGAACTAGGGCTTTTCAGCTATATTTTCTTTTTGGCTAAATTATAGTTTAATATTTTTCTTAATTATATTTTACTGGAACTTACATAGCTATTAGAAAAATTATCTGTATACATTTTATTGACTATTTAGAGCTTCAGAAATAATACTTTAAAATACATTAACTTAATCACACAATGTCTAGCTTTGCAAAATCATTGAGCCAATTCCTAGAAAATGTAACTGACAAGCAGTCTCTCTGCAAATATAGTATCTTTCTGTCTAGTTTCATATTCTGGTGTGAAGGTATTTTAAGCTGTAGTTAGAGGCCTGAACTTAAGTTAAACTTACTTTGTGTTGTTACCAACACAGTTAACTAAACAGAGGTGGTAACTGAGTGAACATACTCGTTTGTAAGTCAGACTACGTGTACACTTGTGCCAGCAATCTGTAATCGACTCCTCTGTTCGGTGATATGCAAGTTTCTCCCTTTTTTTCTGTTCTAAACATCTGTTTTAAGGTAACTCCTGTTTTTAGAAATGTTGTGATATGGTGATGGACTCTGCTTTATGCTTTTAGTTAGGCATCACAGTCTCCTGTAGTTTTTCTGTCATTTTGGCTCTCCCAGTCCCCATCTCAATACAGATGCTTGGGCTTTACCCTCAGAAATTGGGGAAAGGAAAGGGGAAGAAAGAGTGGAAAAGAAAGAAATGGATTCTTTAGGTCTGGGGTGGTGCCCAGGCAGCTGTGTTAGGTACCTGCCTAGTTCATGATACAGATTTAGGTTCTGTCGGCCAGAGTTCATCCGGTGTCTGGAGGGTGTCGGGGGTGGTGTTCGTTTCCTCAGCTCTAAAGGTTGTATCAGATGGACCCACCTTTCTACTAAACCTACAGGTCTTAGATGTAAGCTATACACAGTTCTAAAATATTCTTGAGAATATTCAAATAGCTTTTAATGCAGGTTGTGTCTTGAAGTGAAATTAATGCCCCTTATGCTTCTGAAATTCGACTTCTTCTGTGAACATCATAACTTAGTAGACAGGTGGCAGTTTTCCTCAAGCTGCGCATTTTAAATGTGGCATTCTCGTGTTTATCTCTCTGAAGGATTCTGCTTGTGTTCTTATGACTTTTACTGCATTTATAATATCATTACAGTTAAAAATAGAAAAAACTCTTGGCAGTAATATCAGTGTTGGAAATAATATTCTGATTGATTTGAGTACTGTTCCAGTTAATAATTACTGTATATAGAATTAGAATTACACACACAGACACACACATAATTTTACACACACAAGTGCGCTTGCACACATAAAGAGTTAGCTTCATCTTTTTTTTCTTTTTATTTCCATCTCTCTCTTTACCAGAAGTAGTGTTTTTCAAACCCTCCTTCATCCTCATTTCTGTTCTTTGGTTCTACTCTAAATTGTCCTACTGTGACAGTGACTGCCCCACACCATAGGTTGCATGCTCTATCAAGCATGTCTGTAGTTTGTCGGTTCAGCTTAATTCCGAGAGTAACCAAAGCCCCAGCCCATTTACGGTTTTCTTAAAGTTCAGTTTTTGTTGTTGTTGTTATTCTGCCTTTTCAGAGTATATTTATTAATGGAAACCCTGAAAGCATATTAGAGTAAAGGAGTTTTGCTTCTTGATTGTATCGCATTGTGCTGTATTCCTTAAATATTGGGGTTCAGTGTTTTTAAGTTTTTTTTTTCTTTCCGCATGGCACATAATTTGTTTCTGTGCTGGTTTTTATGAGACGCAATACTTTCTGGAACTTTTTCTTGGAGTTTTGCATGACTGGTTTTGTGCCCTCCTCTTTTTAAATAAATCTCAGAAAGTTTCATATTCAGCTACTTTGGCTTCTTTAGATGTCTCTTCCTTTCCTAATTGAAGTTAACTTTTGTATGGTCACATGTCTGTTTTAATGCTTCCAAAGCCTCTGGAGATTATCCCATTTTATATAACTGATGATATTTTCTTTCACAGTTTTTCTTTTCTCCCTTACTAAAACATGGTTTACATAACTGGCTTGCAGCTTCTCTTTTCCTTTTTCATAATGGATTTCAAATACCCTCCATAGATTCTTAATTGAGAATGTATGTATCCTAAAAATTATTTTTAAAAAGTTAATGTTAAATAGTCACTTGTTAGTTATTTCAGCTTTTGGTTTATTGGCTTATTTAATTTTTATATCTCCTCAAAATATCCATTTCCTTGTGGCCTCGAATTGTTGCAGAAACATGTAGCTAATTCCACATGCATCAGTTTCTGTTTTGGAAAACTTTTTTTCCCCAGATTTTGTTTAATAAGAAAGGCAGCCAAGGCATATTTACTTTCTAGCAATAACTTTATCACTCAAAAATTTTAGTCATATATTTGTGTGTGAAAATATATTTTTAAGACACATTGAAGACAGCAGTTATATACTTTTATAAGGAAATGAACTATTGTAGACTGGAAAACTATTGTATCTTTCATATGTTACCCTCTGTGATTTCCCAGGCTTCTCAGTTGAATAACAAATATGATACAATAAAGTCATGGTATACTACCCTTTCCTCTTTAGATGGACACTTTTGTAAACCCACTTCGAAATTCTATGAGGAATGTTTCAAATGCAGTCAAGTCCCTTCCTGATAGCTTGGCAGAGGGAATGACTAAAATGTCAGACAACATGGGCAAAATGTCGGAAAGATTGGGTCAAGACATAAAGCAATCATTTTTCAAGGTAAGATATTTTCCGTAATGTCTAAAGCAAGCTATTTTTAGGTCAACCACAATATATTGAGCTCATGCTTAGATTTACCTATTTCAGAAGTCCAAAGCCTTCTAACACAGTCTCATAAAGAATTAAAAAAAAAAAACAAAAACTAAAGGGAATACATTCTTATCAGAAATGGGCACTGTAAATCCAGTCACTCCTCAGTCTCTGCTGTGGTAGAATTTTATTTTTTTCATTGACTTTATTACAGATGTCTCTCATTCTCCTCAACCACTCAATCCCCACACCAGCCTTCATTGTCTGTGCCCATGGGCTGTGCATACATGCATATGTGTTCTTTGACTAATTCCTTCTAGTCCCTCCACTCCCTCCCCTCTGAGATATGTCAGTCTGTCTCATGTTTCCATCGTGTTATATGGTAGAATTTTTAACTCTATTCAAAACAAATATTTAAAATTGGTAAAGTTAGCCCTGGCTGGTGTGGCTCAGTGGATCGAGTACCAACCTGCGCACCAAAGGGTCACTGGTTTGATTCCCTGTTTACGGCACATGTCTGGGTTATGGGCCAGATCCCCAGTAGGGGTGCACGAGAGGCAACCACATATTGATGTTTCTCTCCCTCTCTTCCTCCCTTCCCCTCTCTTTAAAAATAAATTAAAATTTTTTTTAATTGGTAAAGTTAGCATTTTTTGTACTGTTTTATTCTGTTATGCCAGTTTTTTCCTGGAGTGCTATTAAATTTTATAAGAAAACTAGATGCTATTGTGTAAATTAGTTCTGCTAATATTCATCAAGAAACATTAAGTCTGATTTCTCCTGATTTACATGGTCAAGGTGAGGAAATGCCTTGCACCATCATCAATCTCTGGGGCCATACTTGTGAGTTCTATACCTTCAAGTGATATAGAAGAGTTTCCTAGGAATCTTTTTTATTACATTAGCAAATACAAATAGTGGACCAAGTAATTTGTTGCCTCATAATTTGTACCTTTCATGGTTTTGACCTAGTTGTCTAAGGTTATGTTCAAGGCTATAAAAGAAAACATAGAGCTATTAGAATTTTGTACTTGTTAGGTCAGTTTGAATGAAGAGGAAATACACAGAAACAGAATTTTTTTTTTTAGTGTAAGAGACAACTAAAATAGTGTTTGCAAATCATGCTTTTCTATTAATTCTCATACTTCCTCTCACGCTTCATCTTTGTTTCTAATCATGGGAAGTATACTAACACTGAAATGAGGATTTTCCCTGTGCCACTTCTGCTAACAGTCACCCCTGTGCCTTCATACAGAAGTCACTGAACTTTGCCAGGCTTCTTTCTCACTAGCAACACGAAGGGTTATAATAGGTGATTCTGATGGTTCTTCCTGTGTCGATCCATAATTATCAGCAAACACCATTTTTCTGTTCTCTTTTCCCATAATTTACATTATCCTATAATTGGTTAATAAGTCCTTTTACCCTCTTAACATACCATCAAGCTCTCTCTGGTAAAAGAAAGAAGATGGGTGTTCTGTTAAATTATTTAGTCTTTCTTAGCATTAAATTTTTCTAAAAGGTATGGGAGCTTGACTAAGTAATCTCCCCTTTCAACTAAATAGCTAAGCATTTTTTTCAGTGTGGGATGATATTTTTAAATTATTTTTTATTAATATTCGAATACAGTTGTCTCCATTTGTTTAAAGGAAAAAATACTTTGGTAATGAAGTAATCACTCTTTTGTATTTGATTTCCAATTTTAGATTAATATTTTAAAAATAGAAAATATAGAAACTTTATATATTGTACCAGATATTAAATCAAATGCCATTTATTATGTTTGATAATCATTTTGATTTATTATTATGCTTTATTATTTTGTCTGCCTATTCACTTTGTTCTGTTTCTTTGTTTTAAATGTTAGATGCCTCCTTTAATTCCGAAGGTTGATTCAGATCCTGAACATTGTCGGGTCTCAGCTCAACTTGATGATACTGTGAGTTCATTTTATTTTTGGTAGTTTTCAAATGCAATACAAATCATGGTTAACATATTTTTAACTTTTAGGTAAAGTATAGTAATATATATCCATCATTAATGTGCATATATTGTAAGTGTTAAGTTTGATGAATTCTTACAAACTGAACATGCCCATGTGATCAGCACCCTCAACAAGAAACAGATTGTTGCCAGTACCCGAGAAAGCCCCCTGGTGCGCTCTTCCTGTCACTGCCCTCTCCCCTCACCAAGGGTGATCACTCTCCTGACTTCCACCCTGCTTTTATACTTGGTGTAAATGAGACCATGAAGTATGTGCTCCTTTTAGTCTGGCCAGTTTTGGTCAACATTGTGATGCTTCTTCGTGGTGTTTTATGTGATTCTAGTTTCTTTGTTATCGTGGTCTACAGCACTCCCATTCTGTAAATACAATTTATTTGTCATATTATGAATAGTACTCTTAGGAATACGCCTTTTGGTTAAAAAAAATAAGTACATGTTTCTGTTGGGTCTATACCTAGGAATGGAATTGCTTGGACAGAGTGTGCAAACGCTCAGTTTTAATACATACTCTGCAGTAGTTTCCCAAAGCGTTTGTTCCACTTACAGTGCCACCAGCAATGCATGAGCACTCCAGCGCTCCACAGCCTGCCAGTGTTGTGTCTTTTTAACTCGAGCCACTTTGAGTTTTGTCTCTGATGTGGATTTTCATTTCTCTGATGATTGTGAGAAATGTGAAACACCTTTTCATATGTTCATTGGCCATTTGGGCATCTTGTCTTCTGTGTCTGGTGCTTGCCTCCATTTTTCTCTTGGCTTGGTTGTCTTTGTCTTTTGATTAGTAAGAGTGCTTTTATAATCTGAATAATGGTTCTTTGTCAGATGTAAGTATTTGAGTATTGCAGATATCTTCTTTGTGTGCTTTTGTTCACTGTATATACCATTCATGTCTGTTGAAAGGTCACAGAGATATTTGATTTTCTCTATTTATTTTTGTTTGTTTTACCACCCTAAAATTTAGATTTGGCATTCATCTAGGATTGATTTTTGTGTATGGAATAAGTTAGGGGTCCAGTTGACCAAAGCACCACTTGCTGAGAAGGCCCTCTTTTCCCCAGTTACTGGGTTGGTCAAAACGTCCGTTTAGTTTTTTCCATAAAATAAAAGACACATTTTTCATTTTCACCAATAACTTTATTGATTTGGATATTTAAGTATGTTGGCTATCTCCCGTTATTGGCTTCAAGTGGGTAGAGACCAGGGGTGCTGCTAAATACCTTCCGGTGCATAAGACAGCCCCACAGCAAAGAATTATTTGGCCAAAATGCCAGTATAACCAAGAAACTTTGCTAAGCACTTTTGACATGTTTGATTAGTCACAGCACCTTCTCCATACACTGCACAAATCTTTTTTTGTGTTTCAGTTGCATTTTTACATTTCTTGAAATAATAAAGCAAAATACTCTAAAAATGTTGCATGTTTTCTTCCATCTTCAATATTAAAATGGCTGCACAAAAATTCACCAGTTTTGATGAGTTTTTTTAAATGCATGCATCATTTTTTTAAATGTATGACAGCTGACCCAATAAAATCTAACAAAATTGTTTCAAATGAAGGTAAAGACAACTAAGCACTACTAGAGCCATAGTACAGAAAAAAACTGAATAAACTTTTTGGCCAACCCAATAAATGTTTGGGTCTGGGCTCAATATTCTGTTCTATTAGGCATAAAGTTACAATCATCTCCCCTTGGTTTCTCATGAAAATTCTTTATGATAAACTGTTTAAAAAATAAAATATTTTTATTTGTTTTTCAGGAATATTTTAGAATGTTTTATTAGGAGTTATGCTGTGTAATATCCATAACATACCTTTTGTTCAGGGTTTTTACAGTGTAACCTTTTATTAAATTGTCATGTGGCACCAAACTTGAATACACTTGATCAGAGACTAGAACAGCATTCAGCTGCAGTAAATGAAGGTGCCTCTTCCCATCATCCCTCTCCAGTGCTCCCCTCCCCTTGGTTAAGCTCTGGGCTTTCAGTGTGAAAGGAAGGGTGCACTAGGAGAATGTTCACAACATGACAGTGAAAAACAACTCATTCTGTTTTCTCAGTATTTAAATTACAACACTGATGAAGAAAGAATCAGAAAGAGTATCTTAGTGATGAAAGAGTTATAAACTTTCTGACACTTATATGCAGTTTGTTGTAGTTCTAAACCTGCACCTGTCTGGGCTTTATATTTATATTTTTTTCTACACCAAAGCATTCTAGTTGTCTTGTTATTTTTATATCATTAATCAAATATTCCCATTATAAATGTTCAAATTTTTACTTGTTAAACATTAAAATTCCTGTTTAGTGAAATATGTCTTAGGTAGTGTTAACTTAGTTATATACTAGATTTTATTCCGTTCTTTTCCCTGAAAATATCTAAAAACATACTACTCACTGACCAAGCAAATCATGTTATTCTGGGTAGACTGTGTTTTTTGTATTAAATAAAGAGACTGTTGAGTATATTTTGTTCTTTTGAAAAAGCTGCCCCAGGAAATAGGCAGAGGGGTTAGCATCTGCCTTATCAAACTAGCGTGGGCCCCACTAACAGTAAAAGAGCCAAATCATCTTTCCCCAAGGTCATCATGAGTCCACTTGGAGAAATTTTTTTCATTATAGTTGTGGGATTTGCTATCCGTATAGGGCTGTAAAATTCTATGTTCTATCAAAATAACGGTTAAAAAGGTCTTTTCTAAATTAGAATGAAATGTCAGATTATGAAAGCTATAGTATAACTTGTTCTCTGACCTGTGAAATAGTAGCAGTCATTCTGTAAATGTATCCATTGATGGGAGATACGTAGCTTAGATGGACATAAGCTTATTTCTTCTTGTGTTTTATCAGGTGGATGACAATATTCCACTAAGGGTAATGCTGCTTCTCATGGATGAAGTGTTCGACTTAAAAGAAAGGAATCAGTGGTTGCGAAGAAATATAAAAAACCTACTTCAACAGCTTATTAGAGCCACATATGGTGATACAATTAATAGGTACCACATTTTTTCATTCTTTGTTTTCTCACTTAGAGCTGATCTTACTTAGCTTTTAGACATTTACTTCTGGAAATGGATTGTTCAACCTTTACAGGAGAATTTCCTTCTCTGCGCCTTTTAAGAACATTAAAGCAGTCTGCTTCTGTTAGAGATAATTTACATACAAATTGAGTGGCTTACTGAATGAAAGTAGTGTTTATTTTATTCACCTTGTAAAATTTTGACCATACTCATTTAAATGTCTTTACTTTCAGAAAAATAGTTGACCATGTTGATTGGATGACCTCCCCTGAGCAAGTAGCAGACTTAGTGAAGCGTTTCCGGTATGTCTTAAGACACGGTCACTTCCTCCAGGTGGTACAGAGTTTAGCATTATTACTGCTGATTGACTTTGCTTCACTTTTCTTCCGGGCCATGAAGTTAGTTTTAGTTAACACTGAGGAGCAAAAAGACTTGTAAGAATTATATAAACATTTTATACATGGGCCTGTTGATCTTTGTTTTCTTTAAAACTAGAATAGAATGTAAAAGAAAAAATTATAGAAGGTTACATTTTATCACAGTAAAGTGGCTTTAGAATAGTTGAAATAGTAGTATAGACAAGGCATTGTCATATAATCAAATACCTTGTATTAGGGTTTAGTTTTTCTCACTTGTGTTTGCTAGCCTTGATTTTTAAATGCAAAAATTTTTAAAAAATGTATGTCTCTGGCCACAGTTTAATTTTTTAACTATTTGAACCTCTGAAAAGAATACAGATTTAAGAGTAGTGATACTCCAGTTTATATGTTCACCCTACAAAAATATTCTGAGCTCCTCCCCTGCGCCTAGCGCTTTGTCAGTCACCAGTTACAGTTCCGTCAGGAGAGCACTGCGTGGCAGAGAAATAGACCGCGTTTCTAGCAGTGAGAGACAAGCCAGGCAGAAATATTCCCGGCATCATGCATCTCAAAATAACAGGAGCAGGAGGGAGCTCTTGGTGTGGAGCACGGTTTGCTTGGTACTGCGCCAGCTACTTTAGGTACACTTCCTGATTTTATCATGTTTCACCAGATAGGGATTCTTGTCTACGTTTTGTTATGAGGAAATTGAGCGACAGTCAGGTCAAGCAGCTTGCCTAGAAGCTCGTGTGCTGTAAATAGGGAACCGGGTTTCTCTGATCTGAAGCTGCATTTTTCCTCACTGTACCACATCTTTCCAAAAGTGGGACCCCCGGCCCTGGCACACTGACTCTGTTTCAGGGTAGGGGAATGGTGTGCCTCCCTGGGAGCAGTGATTCCCACCCTGGGCTGCACGTTGAAATCACTTGTAAAGCTTTAAAAAGTACTGGTGCTTGGGTCCCTCTCCAGAGAGTCTGACTTAATTAATCCGTTGGAAGACCTGCACATTAAGATTTTTTAAAGCTCTCAGGTGTTTCTAATGTGTAAAGTGGCAAACAACTGCTCTAGGTTTTTCTCTCCCTCAGAACTAGTTCCCAGATGGAAGCTTAGTTATTGTGCTTAAATTTCTGCTTTTGGCCTCATAAATAAGGAACAAAAATTAACCATGCTGTGAAAGTGAAGGAGAATGGGTTATATATGCGAAGAGAACATTGTAATCAATCCAGCTATAAGGTGCAGGTGCCGAATTTGTTTTATATTGGCGTAGTTATACGGAAACTCAGGGATATCACATTACCTCAATTCAGGATTTTGTGGGGTTGTATTTAGATGAGATGCTCAGTCTCACTGAGATGAGAGGCCAACTCTGAGTTGAAATGGATGTCATATGGTCATTTATATATTTTGTTTTGCTCTCCTTATCATTTGTCAGTATTTATATTTTATTTTAGGGCAGAATTCATCAGTTATCTTTCTTGTGTATATCGTTTTACACCTAAAATTGAACCTTGTACTTGATTACTATTTGTTGAATGTCACAGTTATATAAAATTTCAGAAATATTTCTTCTTTCTATTTTCTGTGGGAAATTAGAATAATTTTACCAACTTGTATCATTAGAAAATGAAGATGGTCACAAAATGTATTTGCTCTTTTTAAATAGAGATGCCTTTTGGCCGAATGGCATTTTAGCCGAGACTGTTCCATGCAGAGATAAAGGCGTTCGAATGAGAACAAGGGTTGCAGGGAAAACAAAACTGCTTTCCATTATGCCAGGTGAGTGAACATGTTTGGTAAAAACCTCATTCATTTGTAAGTTCTGAATTTTTGGCACTGAGCATGCTTGTTTGACTCTAATAACTACTCTTTTATTGCTTACCACGTAGGAGGCAATGATCCAGGCGTTTTTCACTTTTTTGTTAACTAATTCTCATGACAGTATTGTGAAGCTAGGCACTGTTAATTTTGCAGCTTTATATGTGAGGAAACAGAAGCTCAAAACAGTTAAGGCAGTCACCCACCATTCATAGCTAGTGAGTGTTGGGATTCTGACTCAGCTTGAATGACTTAAAAGCCACTGCTTTCAACCGTTTGAAGAAGTGCTTTTAACTACTTCACTTTACTGCCTTAAAACATTTTGAGAATAAGTTGATGATAAATATGTAACAGATGAAAGGACTAATAAAGGAATCTGAAGTTTGAGGTTTTCAGGAAGAATATTTGTTCTACTTAAGAGAACAAACCAATTCTCCCCAAGAATCCCTTTACTTAGGAGCAACTGATTGATCCATTTGTTAATCGGTATTAAAACATGGTCCAAAGAAAGTACGCATGGTGGCATTCCATTGGTCTGACTTACCTCCTTAGTGCGCCGCTATCTCACCAATTTAAATCCACTGTGTCCGTCTTGTCTTCTCCCAGTAAGAGATGCTACATAATCTAACAAGCAGTTTTGTGCGACTTGGTGGTTATTTGATCCCTTCTTTGGTTATGAATATCTTTGAAATGACTAGATACCTTCTCTCTCCACGTTTAAATTTTGGATATAGGGAATCTAAAAGATATATTTAAGTTCTTGAACATCATATACCTGTTTCTTTTTCTATTATGTAAAACTGCATCTTCATAGATTTTAATAATCTACTTTCCCTTCTATAAGTTAAATTGAAAATTTGCCACTTGGCTATTAATTCTGCCTTACAGACTGACTACCCTGTTGCATTTGGAGATAAAAAACAAATTATGGAAATAACATGGAAGAAATATGAAAAGAATAACTTAGAATATTATACAATAAACTATGAAAGTAAACTAGATCATGCCATAGACTGACTCAGTTTTCAGCTGGAAGAAACCTAATGTAGTTATTCAGTAAATATTTTTGCAAGCTCATCATGTGCTGGACACTATTTTTTGCACTAATCTTGGCCTTCTTGGACCTTACATTCTAGTAGGGGACACCGAAAACAGACAGAACAAATACAGAAAGTACAGTATGTGTAGACAGTATGTGTAGACAGTGTGAGGCGACAGAGAGTGCAGGGCGAGGGGACGGTCAGGTAAGCTGCAGACGCAGATTGGGTGATCTGGGAAGGCCTCCCTGAAGAGGTGCCATTTGTGTGGACATGTGAAGGCAGATGTGAAAGTGTACATACATACCTCCTCAGTTGTTTTTAGTAAATTCACAAACTGTTTGCTTTAAATCATATTGTTCTCCTAGTCAGACACGTACCTTTTAGAAGTTTCCTGTTTCTTTGGAAAGCACTAAAAACGAGTGCTGCTGCTGAGGTCCTGACCATGAACAGGAGTAACCACTCCTGTCGTTCCCATCCTCAGACACCTCTGGCGACTTCCCGTTGCCCACGAGGGAATGCCACTCTCGCCCGTCCTGGTGGGCAAAGCACTGTCAGTTTTCCTTTCGCTCCTGCACTTTCTCGACAGGAATCCTAAAATTCAACCACACAACACCATCCCCATTTCCTGAGTCTGCCTAGTTCTCCTCCCTTCGTGCTTGTTTGCTCACTGATGTTTTCTCCAGGAAAGCCAGTCCTTCATCTGTCTGTCCTGCCCAGGCAGCGAAGTCAGCTGCGGTTGTTACTTCCTCGAAGGGCACCTTTCCTTATAGTCTCATGTAGAATCCCCCCATGTACATCTTTGTGCTTTTAGTATATTAATGGCACTTTACTGTGTCACAGGTTTTTGAAATCATAGATCAGCTGTCACATATCATTTCCTTATAGCAGATTTCTCACTGTGTATTACACATAGTAAGAGTATTTGTGTGATGTTTTAGGATTTACAGATCACTTTTTATATTATCTTCTTAAAGCCTTATAAATCCTTACAGTTATATGGACATTGGTTATTATAAATGCCCATTTTACAGATGAAGAAGCAAACTCAGGGTAGGTAAATGTCATATAGGTGTTAAGGGCCAGGATTGTAATTCTAATGTGGGGCTTCTGAGTCTGGGTCTTGCTGCTTTCTCTTGCGCTGTCTTGTCTCCCAGGATCTGTTGCATAATGACGGACGCATGCATGCGCACACACATGTAGGTTTTAAATCTCAGTTACAATGCACAGCTGAAACACATTAACTGCATACCTGCTGTTTATCAGTTACTCTGCTGAGCACTTTACATGTTTACATTATTTAACGTAGAGCCTAGCTTGTGCCTGGTGTTTCCTCTACTGGAGTAATGAGTTATGTTTATTCTCCCCCATTTAGATGAACTGAAGCACATTATTGGGGCTGAGACAACACGGAAAGGTATTCTTCGTGTTTTTGAAATGTTTCAGCACAACCAATTAAATAGAAGAATGGTTTATGTCTTTTTGGAAGGCTTTTTGGAAACCTTATTTCCACAGTATAAATTCCGTGAACTTTTCAACAAACTGCATTCACGATCAAAGCAGATGCAAAAATATAAACAGAAACTTCAAACAACTCAAGCGCCTTCTTTACAGAAAAGGTGACACTCCAATCTATGAAGCTGGTGTTTGTTTTGTCCAGAACTAGTGGGTGGACAGACCTTCTGGGGCTTAACTCATACACTGCTGTGTCTGCACCAGTCTCTTAATGTCTCAATAGATTATCAGTACATCTACAGGACTGTGGTTCTTCTCATCCTCGTCCGTCATCCAGCCACTACCAAGAGAGTTGCCGTGTCTTAAATGATTTGGTGCATATTTTTGCAACATTGAGAGGATACTGCCCCCATCTCAAGCAAGAAGGACGTCGGTCTCTTTCGTTTCAGACTAATCAGCGTTCTCCAGCAATGACAAAGTGCCAGAGTGTGTGTATGAGAGCTAAGGAAAGCACAGAACAACGGTTCACAGATAACTTGGCTAATTTGTTTAACAGTGGGAGACTGTGCAATGTACGATTTGGAGGGATTTGTTTTGCATAATGATTTTATAGGTCTCTGTCGGCATTTTGAAGTGTTGTAGATTAGTGAGGTGAAAGATCTTTGCTACATCGATCTTGGTCTTGGGTGTGGGGAAAGTGACAGAATGCCCTTCAAGTATGAAGTAACCTTATACCCAAACTACAGTTTTGTGACATAAAATAAAACCTAGTGTAACATAAAACCAATCAAAAACAGAATGCAATTGGATTTGTTTATTGGTATAAAACAATGTTTAATTGATTCTTGTGTGCTTTAAGGGCTCTTGTTTTGCTCTTACGGTACTCAATCTTTGTTTTTTTTTGTTTTTAGTTTTGTTTTTTGGCATTCTGTGTGCAAAAAGAAGCATATGGTGGCTGTCATTTAAGTTTCAAAATTGCAGTTTATCTTTAAGAGATTACTGTTTATATAGTAGGGGTGTAATTTGTTGAAAGAATTGCCAAATAAATTCTGTGCTTCTAAAAATATAAAAATTTAAAAGAAAACAGCACTCTATTGAAAGTTACCATATGATAATTTTAAATTGTGTGATCTAGACATACCATAGGTGATTGCAAAAAATAGCAAATTAAAGGATTAAATGAGCTTATTAGTCATATGTAAACATACAAATTCCTAATTCTATTATAGTGTACATATATGAAAATAATGAAAACAGAAGTATAATATTTTTTAAAATATGCTCTTATTTATATTTTGCATAATGTAAACTTCTACTAAATAAAGCAAGTTGGCAAAACCCCTCAGTGTATACATTTAAGTCCCTAAAATAATTTTGTATCAATGACAACGAAATACCTTTTCCAGTTTGGAGCCTCCGCATTTCCTATAGTTTTCTCATTCTCCATGTGTCCGTCTTTGAAGTCTTTATATTGCTTGTATGCATAGTTTTAAGTATTTCCACTGATTAAGGGTTTGGATGTGTCAGCATTTTTTGTTTTAGAAATATTTAACACTAAAACCTTAAAATAGTGAAGCTATTTATCAGACCACTGAGCCAAGATCCTGGTATTAAAAGATATGTCTGGGTGCTTAAGACAAAGGGACAAAGTATTGGTATCCCAGTTATTTGGGAGCTTTAAGATGGGAACAAGATACTGTTGTCTTGTTTTCACTTAGATCCTACTTAAAGAGTGAGCCTAATAACAGAATAAAGCCTTCCTTTAAAGCTTTATCATAATCATATTTATTGTGATGCTGGTGTGCATACTTGTAGTATGCATATATTCAGCATGTGTTGCATGTCTTCAGAATTACAAGAATGAAATCCCTTTCATTGCAACTTGCAAAAGAGAAAAGTTCCCCATTGACTCTGGTGGAAGAAATAATATTTCTTCCTCTCGGCGAGACTCCCCGCTCTGGTCCCTCTCCATGCCCAGGCTTGAAAAGTGAGGCCGTGTGTAACACGTCTGTCAAAAGCATCAGCATGGCCGTAAGTGCAATGACTTTCAGATATACCCCTGCCCAGTTCAAGTATACTTTTGATATGAGTAACCTAAGGGTAAACAGTTCACATCCGAGTCTAGCGTGTACACATGAAAGAACATTTCTAGGTAATGTGAGGAACGCTAGCCGTCAGCCAGGGAAAGAAATGTCATGTAAGATTGCAGATTTTCATAACGGAGCCCTGCCACGTTAACTGCATCATACCAAAAAATATTTGAGTAAGTGAGTTTTTAAAATAATTTTTGTTTAAAAGAATTTATATTTCAAAAGCAGCAATGTCAGGTGGTGGTCTGTGTAAGCGGTTGTGCATCTTCTCTATGCACATCTATGTTTTACATCAGAGAGAGCCTGGGTCGTGCTAAAGTCAGGCTTTTGAATGACTTGGTCAAGCTGTGTTTAGAATATGTAACCCATAAGTCAAGTACAGTGTACTATGTTTAATAAAGTTATTACAATCTAATGCAGTTATTACATATATGAATATATGTGAAGAGGCTTTATGTCTTCTAATATTTGATTTTTGAATGTGTTTTTTTTAAGTCAGTGGTGCCTTTAGGCAAAAACCTTCAAAATTAATCATTCTTTGGGTTTTATGATTTTTCAGGTAACAACCTATTTGGGAACCATCACTACTAACTTTTAATAGTTCATTCACCTAAAAACTTTGATTGTATGATTTAAATATAACACTTAGATGGGCATTTCCTAGAATTAGGGTGTTCTGAATAGTTGCTGGAAATAATTGTGCCATTGTACAATGGATGCACTTGGTTAGCCTTAATTTTTTTAAAAAGAAAAAATGTTAAAAAGTTTCTTGACTATTTCACTTCGCTCATTTTAAGTTTGTGCTGCTGGTGTTTGGGGAAAAATCAAACAGTTAAGCGCTACCAGAAAGTGTACCGATTTTTTAAAAATTAAGATCAACATAAATTTCACAACCTAAAAATTTTAGTTTTGTGCAATATTTTCATTTAATGCATGTGTATTTGCGTACTTGTAAAATAAATGAATTTTAATGTTTGGAGATCTAGTTTAAACTGTCTTCTTAACAACCTACATTCCGTTGTTGCTGCATCCTTTCATTTAAGGACTTGTTTTAAAAGTCTTTTTTGTCACTCCTTGTACAATGCTTTTGTTATTAGTGAAGTTTGCTTATAGGAGCATGACTCCTGTATTACAAGGGAAAAGTATAAAGAGCACATCTTAGGACTGTAATTGTGAAAGATAACTCGTGCATATCATTGTACAGTAAGTGTCAACTGTGTGCCTAATTATTCTGCCAGTACTTTCCTCCTTTAATGAAGAAGGAACAACAATCAGAATGTCAGCTATTTTTATGGAACTAAAAAGAAAAAATTTTATTTGGTTTGTGTTATGTTCTGTCCATTAGAAAATACTAATAAAGTATTAACAAACCTTTTTGTTCAATTTATTTTGTAGTAACGTATTTTTATTACTTTAAGAAATACGTGCTCAGTGGTGTTATTTTAGTGTCTCTGTATTTTCCTTTTCATTTTAGAGATCAAGCAGTGTCGGTTCCAGGTGACAGAGGAGTTACTGAGTACCCACTGACTTAAACTAACTGCATTAATTTTCCTTTTCTGGGGCAAGTAATGTACCACCGTAGTATTAAAGAAACTTCATACTTCCCTGTCATTCAGAATTACAGTTTCCTTATAGAAGGGTCTATGGTAATCCATTAGCAATTTTTACTTGATCTCATTTTTAGCTTGTAGTCTGCCTAATATTTCAGACATCGCAGTTCTAACAGCTGTTCCTCCACAGTGTAGCTGTATCCGGTTGACCATAACGTTCGCAGCCTCCTTGGACCTGTATCCATGGGCTTCTCAGACATCAGATGTGGTGACTGCTGCCCTACCAGGGGCAGGCATTGTATCGCTCAGAATGCATACTGTGAAACGTTCACCCCTCTAAGATGTTCTTGGGAGCATAGTTTTATACTTTTATGTAACTGACACAAATCTACAATCCAAAACCCTAAAATGTTCACAATTCAGATGAGTATATCAAAGGTTCTGGAAAGTTCTATAATAAGTAAATCTGTTTGTTTACCTAACTCCCCAAACTTAGTTAACCATGGAATCTTTTGTCATAAAAGAATAGCTTGAGGATAATGTTCCCAGGGAATGTGGTTTGAAAAGAATCTTAGTAAGGGAGAAGTAAAATGTGAAGCATCTTTAATTAGGAATATAAACTCTCTAGACAAAAAAAAAATGATGGATTTGGGACACAAAGATTTATTTTATTTATTGGCTGTCTTTCCAATGGGAAGTTCAGTTATTGGAAGAAAAAGTATATGAAAAATTAACAGCTGATAATATAGTAGATACTAGAACTGAATTCAGCTGTTGGTACCAGAATACTGAAGTTGGGGACAAGAGAGTATGTCTTATAAAAAGTGGGCAAGATACTTGCTGAAGACCTTGCGCATAGGATCAAAAGAGAAATAACTAGGAAAAGTAACTAGGGGCGGAGAGGTGTGATACTCTACAGTTCAGTTTGTAAAGTGTATGCCAGGCATTGACCTCTATGTAATGGCGGATACTATGTTTGATCTTGGGAAAATTGCAGCAGCTGAGAACCTCGGACTTGCCGAGAAAAAAACGAATAGAATGAAAATTATACTTAACAACTTATGTCTATCTACCAATGCACAGTGTATGAGAAATGTATGAAACGTGATATTTTAAGTTGGTAAACATGACCGTTCACATATCATCAGGTGGAATAAAACAGTAGGACTGTCTTCTGGAAGTGCCCAAGACCACTCCCTGGGCGCATCGCAAGGAGGACTCACAGGACTCAGCCTGGAGTCATACTCACAGCTCAGATCTGTTACAGCCAAAAGATACAGAACATCAAAGGGAGAGGGTGCAGAGGGCAAACTGAGGGCAGCCGAACTTGAGCTTCCACGGCTATCCCAGTGGTATCTCTCAGGGTACCCTAACCCCGGCAATGAGCTGTGGCAGTGTGTGAAATACTGCCGACCAGGTGAGCTCTTTCAGAACTGCCTATCATGTTTATAGGAGGCCTGTCGTGTAGGCACTCTCTGCGTGACACACAGCAAGAATCTGGCCTCTCAAGAAAGTAAGCATGCCTTTTGCATAAACCGTATATATTTTGTACAAACAGTTTCGGCATAGCGAGCCACTTTTATCAATTTGAGGAATGTAGGAATACTGAAATGTAGATTCTTGGACATCTGAGAACAGGGCCCAGTCCTGTATGCAAACCCTTCCCAGGACCGCAGTCCTACCTGCTGTGTTAACGCCTTCCTGTACAACTATATACCTTGATGCAAAGAAATGGCTAATAGAAAGTGTTACACTGAAGGCCAATGAGATTTATCCCTGTGTTGAAGCCTCCGTACTTGGAAATAGAAACATGGCAGAAAGAATTTAGATGTAGATAAAAAGAGAAAAGAGATATATTGATACGGATATATAAGAAGCCAAAGAAACAGATTGTTGTGCTTCCAGTAAAGGTTCCCATAGCATACAACCTTTTGGGGTGTGGGTACTGTTATCTTTAGTTTATAGACAGGAAAACTCGCATGCAGGTTGAGTCTATTATCCAAAGTTTCAGAATGGGTAAGTCAAGGTGTCAAACATTTTCACAGGGGGCATCAGCCTCACAGTTGCCTTCAAAGAGCCAAATGTAATTTCAACTCCTTAACAGTTAAGGAGTAGTTATATTTGTACAGTCCTAAAATTATTTTGGCCCTTTGAAGGTAACTGCAAGGCTGATGTGGCCCCCCCAGTGAAAATGAGTTTGACGCCCTTGGGGTAAGTAAGGCTGCAAACTCAACCCAGGTGGTCTGACTCTAGCTTCTACGCCAGTTTCTCAGCAGCAGCACTGTTGACACTTGGGGCTGCATAATTTGTAGAGGGAGCCATCCTGTGCATTACAGTGTATTTAGTAATGTCTTCAGGTTCTATCTACGAGGTAATACCAAGTGCACCACCCTCCACCCCAGATTGTGACAACCAAGTACGTCTTCAAACACAGCCAAGTGATGTCCGAGGCAAAATTGTCTCAGTTGACAACCACTAATCTCTGTTCTCAATCACAACAACAAGATAAAGTAGAGACTGCAGACTTTAATTGTGGGCACCTGTGTCTCTTCTCTGTACGCAGACACCTGGCAACTTTGTGGCTCGCCTCGTGTGGGAGAGTGTCAGTTGGATGTCTACTCTGTCCGAGGAGGGGGAAGGGGTAGAACCAAATATTTTACCTTCTCTCTGTTTAAGTGAGCATCTCATAGTTGAGGAGGGGCTCTTGGAAGAGAAGGACTTTGCAACATGAGATAAATAAAAACAGTTTTTTTCTTGGAAGATGGAACAAATGGTTCAATGGAAAGTTGCTGCTTTACTCTCATGACTAGGCTACTAACTCAGTAACATTGGTACTTGTGGGATATTTGCCTTCCAGTTAACTCTTGTCCTTTTTATGTTTTGTGAGCCAGTCAGTTTAAAGCCTAAAGATTCCCTTTCGGTCTTCTCTGCAGGTGAACACCTTTCCTAAACGCTCTTGTTCCTGAGTTTGCCTTTGACAGGTGCATGAGCCCCTGGGACGGCCAGGTGACTCAACTTCTGCACGGATTTGGCCAGTCAGAGTGAACCTGGTTCACAAGTAGAGCTTGGACCCTTGCTGACTTTTCCATATTTCCTCCTCTGATTCTTTTCATAGGTCTTGAGCAAATCTGGTTCTGCTTTTGATTAGCGCACAGCTGCTTTATACCTCCACCAGTGGAAGCAATGCTGGGAAGCTGATTTTTGTGGTCTGACCTGATTTTCTCTCAACTGGGTGTTTGTCTTTCTGTTTGCCTGTTTGAGGGTTCTTGGTATCCACCAGCATTTCAGATGGGGCTCAGTCAGCCCAGTGGTTGCTCTCACCTGTGGGATTACGAAGGCAGTCATGCTGCAGCCCACACCCGTGATGGTGTTTCTTCTGCCACAGGTGGAATGCTCCGTGTCGTTTGTCTGATTTACACAGAGCTACGTGCTAAAAAAAAAATCAAGGAAAACTGTTTTTGCCTGCTGGACAGAAAGTGGCTCCCTGCAATCCGTGTCTCTGGCCTTCCTCCCCAAAGCTGCTACAGCAAATTGGTGAGTTTTGTCCTTTATCTCTGATTCCTGGATGAAGTTGTACGAGTGAGCCTGTTACCTCTTTCTCTGTGTGTGGGTCTTTGTGTGTGTACATAAAAAAAAGTAAGACTTTTCTCTCTCCTTGTCACAGAAAAGTAGCCTTTTACAAATGGTTTATTTATAACTAATAATTGTGGCTGGCGTTCACCTATTTTATTGTCTCAACTTCTGGAAATTGAGCATAAAAACTGATTATTTATATGCACTACTGGGGATATCTAATTCAAATATACGGATTTACCAACAAATAAGAAAAAGTTGGAATCAGTTTCTTGTGGTTTTAGAGTAAGAGTTGAGACTTCAGAATGCCCCTGGTTTTGTAGCTCTGTGGGTGAGCGTGTGTGTGGTGTGGGGCTGCAGACTGAAGGGGGGAGGAGGCCGGACGTGCCCGGGCTTCAGGACTTCCTCCGCCACCTGAAGGGTGCTGAGCCCCCCAACTTCTTTCCCCAACTCTGTAAACACAAAGGAGACATCACAGTGAACCAGATGAAGGTAGGAAAAAGAGCCTTGTGTTCAAAACAAAACAAAACACACGTGTATAATAGGAAGAAATCCAGCACTAAATTCTCCCAGAGTTCTCACGCTTGCCCATGAGTTGGATAAAATTCTTGTACTACATGGATACGAGATACTTTATAAATGTGTTGATAGACACATAATGCCTCTGCTTATCTCCTAAATTACAATAAATTGGGCTGTAACATCTCTTAAATTTAATGAAGCTCCTATTTTGAATGCATCAATAGGCTAAATGGGAATTTTAAGTTCAAATTTTTAAATTTGAAATGAAAGAAAATAATTTTCAGAGAGAAAGGAAAAAAATCCAATGAGCAAGATTGAAGGAAACTCAAATACTTACTGAAGGAGGTCAGTGAGAAAAGTTAGCCACTCCTTAAGTGTCCTGATTGCTAGGATACAAGATAAGAAACAGAGGCATCCACGTGTTATCAGTTCACAAGAAGAAAAATGCTAAGACCTTGTTAGGTATGAAATTAGACATGTAAATATAGAAAATATTTAGATAATATTACTAAACAAAGGGAATACTTGGACAAATTAATTTTAATAATTTTGGTTTAAAACAACTGTCTTTCCCTACCGTGAGAAGTAATACTACTATAAAATTTCTGATTTCCACACAACTGGAATATGTTCCCCCATGGAAAGCCTCATCTGAATGCCATAAATTTCCTATATTGATTCAATGGATCACATAAGTTATCTTTATGTCCACAAAACATTTCAAAT